TCATCACCATCCCGATTTCGCTCTATTCAAAAGCCTCGGAGATCATATCGCTCAACCTCTCACGTAACCTCTCACTGGATCTCCCTCGCGACTTCATTCAGTCGTGTCAAAACCTGAGAGACATCAAGTTCAACAACAACGAAGCACGAAGATTACCCCCCAGTTTGGGCAAGGCGGCAAAGCTGACGTACCTCGATGTGTCGAACAATCGACTGGAACAGCTGGACCACGCTGAGCTGAACGGTCTGCAGGGCATACTCAAGCTCAACATAGCCAATAACCGCCTCAAGGCACTCCCGCCGTATTTTGGCGCTTACAGGGCTCTGCGGAACCTCAATATCTCGTCCAACTTTTTGGACAAGTTCCCACTGTTCCTTTGCCAGGTGGAGACTCTCGTCGAGCTGGACTTGAGCTTCAACTCGATAAGCAGTCTACCTAACGAGATTGGAAGACTGAGAAACTTGGAAAAGTTTGTCATGACCAACAACAGGCTGTCAAATGCGCTACCCGACACTTTCAGCGAGCTGCAGGGCCTTCGGGAGTTGGACATCAAGTACAACGCCATTACGAGCATCGATATCATTTCATTGCTTCCCAAGCTGGAGATTCTCTCTGCAGACCACAACAGCATTTCACAGTTCATCGGCAGCTTCGACAGGATACGGAGTTTGAAATTGAACTCTAACCCAATTACCAAGTTCGAGATCAACGAGCCAGTTCTCACATTGAAGATGCTCAATCTGTCTCACTGCCAGCTTGCGAGTATCGACGAGACGTTCAACATGATGTTGAACCTCGAGCGTCTTGTCCTGGACAAGAACTACTTTGTTTCCCTGCCGCCCCTCATCGGCAATCTCAGCAAGCTGGAACACTTCAGCATTGCCAACAATAACGTCGCAGAACTTCCACCATCAATAGGATGTCTCACAGAGCTGAGAGTGTTGGACGTGCGCAGGAACAACATCAGGAAATTGCCAATGGAGCTGTGGTGGGCCAACAAGCTCGAGACTCTCAACGCATCTTCCAATATTTTGGAGAACTTCCCCAAGCCAGGCTCCAGACAACCACGGCCATCAGGCGAAGAAGCACAGACGCCAGCTGCCGTGAACAAGGCCAACCCGATGGAGCGCATTGCCCAATCTCCCTTGGAAGAATCACCGGATCCGTCCAGGAGACCGAGCCAGAACTCATCATCAACGTTGCTGAGCGTTGGGCCGTCGCCTGTACCAGGCGGTGGTGACAGGAAGAGTTCTGTCGTGTCAGTCTATGGTAAGGGTGGCCGCAAGACGTCGGTGGTGTCTAGGTCCACATCGGCCGGCACCGTGCCACCGCTCCCGCCGTCTGCGACCGCAAGGAAAGACTCTAGCCTGTCGTCGAGACTCTACACGACTTTTGCCGGGTCTCTGCGCAACCTGTACTTGGCTGAGAATAAGCTTGACGACGAAGTATTTGACCAGATTACGATGCTTAACGAGCTACGCGTCCTCAACTTGTCGTGGAACTATATCAACGACATGCCACAAAGATCGATCAAGAGTTGGCCCCAGATGGTGGAACTTTACCTTTCTGGTAACGAGTTGACGACATTACCGGCTGATGATCTTGAAGATGCCAGTCTGCTGCAGGTGCTGCATATCAACGGGAATAAGTTCACCAACCTACCGGCCGACATATCCAGGGCTAAGAAGCTTGCGGTCTTGGACTGTGGTAGCAACTCCTTGAAATACAACATTTCAAACGTTCCTTACGACTGGAACTGGAACCTCAACCCCAACCTCAGATACCTCAATCTTTCGGGCAACAAGCGTTTGGAGATCAAACAGACCACTGTTGGTCCGACGGCGACAAACCGGGAATCGCTCGCAGACTTTAACAGGCTTTCGAACCTGAGGGTTTTGGGTCTCATGGATGTCACCCTCACACAGCCCACGATTCCCGATCAGAGTGAGGATCGCCGCGTGCGAACGTCTGGTTCTCTTGCCGGCCATCTCCCCTATGGTATGGCCGACACGCTGGGCAAGAATGAGCATTTGTCCACCATCGATCTCGTGGTGCCTCGATACAACTCCACAGAGACCGAGACTTTGCTTGGCTTGTTTGACGGGCAGGCTCTCTCCAGTGGAGGCTCCAAGATTGCAAAGTATCTGCACGAGAACTTTGGCCACATCTTTGGCATGGAGTTAAAGGGTCTCAAGACGCGTCTCAACGAGACACCAGCGGATGCCCTGAGGCGGGCTTTTTTGTCTCTCAACAAGGACCTCGTCACCATCGCCATCCAACACACCGAAGAGCGCTCGCAAAAGACGCATAGAGGCTCTGCAACGCCAGTCGTGTTGAGCAAGGAGGACCTCAACTCTGGTGGTGTTGCCACTGTGGTCTATCTTCAAAACACTGAGCTTTATGTCGCCAATGTGGGCGATGCGCAAGCCATGCTGATTCAGACCGATGGCTCTCACAAGATCCTTACGCGAAAGCACGACCCAGCAGAACCAAGCGAGCGCCAACGGATTCGTGAGGCTGGTGGCTGGGTCTCGCGCAACGGCAGATTGAACGACCTGCTCGAGGTTTCCAGGGCCTTCGGATACGTAGACCTGATGCCAGCGGTGCAAGCCGCTCCCTACGTCAGCAACTTCACGATCCGCGAGCAGGACGACATAATTCTGATTGCCACCAGAGAGTTCTGGGAGTACCTGGATCCCGCTCTGGTGGTTGACTTTGCAAGGCAGGAGCGCGGTGACTTGATGAGAGCATCGCAAAAGCTTCGCGATTTGGCCATTGCCTATGGCGCCACCAACAAGATCATGGTCATGATGATGAGCGTTGCCGACCTTAAGAGGCGGGTTGAACGGTCAAGGCTTCATCGTGGTCAGAGTATGTCTCTGTACCCCTCGGGCGTACCGGAAGATCTTCAGCAGCCCATGCGCAGAGGCAAGAGGAACAAGGCCGACGTTCTCGACTCAAGTCTACAACGTCTTGAGGCTGAGATTCCAGCCCCGACAGGCAACGTCTCCATCGCCTTCACTGATATCAAGAACTCAACTACTCTATGGGAGATGTACCCCGCTGCCATGAGATCTGCAATCAAGCTGCATAACGAGGTCATGCGTCGGCAGCTGCGAAGAATTGGTGGATACGAAGTGAAGACTGAAGGAGATGCTTTCATGGTGTCATTCCCGACAGCCACGTCTGCGCTTCTCTGGTGTTTTGCCGTTCAGATGTCGTTGCTGGATGTCAATTGGCCTTCCGAAGTTATCAACTCCGTGTCCTGCCAGGCACTTTACGACAAGGACAATGCCCTGATCTTCAAGGGTCTTTCCGTACGTATGGGCATTCACTTTGGTGAAGCGGTCAGTGAGATGGACCCTGTCACGAGACGTATGGATTACTTTGGCCCGATGGTCAACAAAGCTTCTCGTATCTCGTCCGTTGCTGACGGTGGACAAATCACCGTTTCCTCTGATTTCATTTCAGAGATTCAGCGCTGTCTGGAGAACTATCAGGACACAGACAGAAACGGGTCGACTGGATCCGAAGATACCTTTGATGACGACCAGATGGGTTCGGCAATTCGAAAAGACCTGCGCTCCCTCAGCTCCCAGGGCTTTGAGGTCAAGGAAATGGGTGAGAAGAAGCTCAAAGGCCTCGAGAACCCAGAAGTCGTATACTCCTTGTACCCGCATGCACTCGCAGGCCGTATCGAGCATCATCAACAACACGAACAACGGACTGAGGTCGACAAACCCGCCATTCTCCAGGCAGGCAGCGAGTTGGCTTTCGACACGGAATCAATCTGGGCTTTGTGGCGTGTCAGCTTGCGGCTGGAGATGCTGTGCAGCTCTCTAGAAAATGTATCTGGCCAGGGCTTACAGCCACCCGAAACAGAGTTGTTGGAGAGAATGAAACACCGAGGAGGTGAGGTCACGGAACGATTCCTGCTCAACTTCATGGAGCATCAAGTGAGCAGAATAGAGGTAAGTCCAGAGGCAGTACTTGTTTTGTGAAGGTTCTTGGCTAACCGATTGACAGACATGCGTGACGAGTTTGTCGCTTCGTCACATTGCCTTCGGCAGCGCTCCACTGCAACAACTTGAGGACATGCGAGGTCCCATGAGTGACATCCTTGACCAGGTTGCCAAGCAGATGGCGGAGCTGGCACGGTACAAGGCGTTGTATGGCGAGTTGAACGACACTGAAGACGACGGGAGCGAAACGGAATGAGAGAAGCGTAGCGAGCGTTCATTTCATGATTTCCTTACTGCGACCTCATATAGTATACCTACGACGCGAGACAGCATAACGTCTACCACCAAGACAACAACAATAACATCGAGAACAACAACAACAACAACAATACCTGAATACCCGTTTCTTTCAGGGGGGGAGAACAAGGCGCCTCTTATATACATATTCCATTACTGTATCATGCGATTACGACACCCAGACAATTTTAGCGAGCCGCAGTTTTGACCAAAACTGCTTTCCGTATGTCATTACTTCAGCAAGTTGGGTTACCCAGGGCTTGGGCTAGTGAGCTGCTCCGACCGGCTGGTCGTGGAAGGCGTGTTGGATGGAGGTAAAGGTGGTGGATAGGACAGGGCAGTGGGTGGGTTGGGACAGGGCCGGACTGTGTGCTGGCATGGATTGAAAACAAAAAAAGTGCGTAGTGATTTTGGGAATGCGGAAGGGTTGGTTGGTGGCACAGTGGCATTGGCATTGGCATTGGCATTGGTAGTAGTCACGGTAGTTGTTGGTGTTGGAAAGAGAGGAAACGAGGCCTTGCTTGCACTGGTTGGCCTTTTGTGGTAGGATAGTGTCTGCTCTTGTCTTAGTGCTACAAAGCCGGAGCACACCGCACGGCGTATGAAACGATTGAAATACCTCGTATTGTCTTGCATCAACTCGAGACTTGTGCCTCTTTGAACAAGCGATCTGGGACCATCTGACATTGATGCGTTCTTTTTTGTATTGTTACACGCTGTCCATCTATAGAAATAACCCATCTATGAAGACACGATGCGGGCGCTGGCGCCGCCGACATCCTTGGCCCGCTTCATGATGCGTATCCGCGGCTCCATCCGCGGCCCAACCCACCAGCCGCCCGTCACGCCCCGTACGAAATCCCGTACGCGCTTGACAACGAATCCTCTGCCGAGGATCTTGCTCTCCCCGGTCTCTTCGTCCCCGGCCTCAGACGACGTCGCGGAACCCGGCTTGAGGACCTCGATGCCGGCGTACCCTTGCACGACGCCCACCGTCTCCCACTGGCCTCCCTTTACGGAGGCCGTGTCCTCGGCGAGGACGTAGTCGAAGCGGGACCAGAAGCCCGGGTCGGAGAGGATGGACTTGTCTTCTGTCTTATCGAATGCGAGGATCGGGTTTGTGCCTGGTGAAGAGGAAGAGGAAGAGTCCTGTTGGAGAGAGGTCTCGAGGGCGCGGGAGTGCGGGTTCTTGGGCAGGCCTACGCGGTTCTGGGTGAAGAGGGTGACGCCCGTCATGCAGCTCAGCACGTCGGTGTGGACGGTCGTGACGGAGCTGGCGGCGGGGGACGCGGCGACGAGGGCGTGCAGCTGGCGGAGGGCGTCGCCGCCGGGATAGTTCAGGGAGGAGAGGAGGAGCATGCCCGTCGAGGCGGCGAGGGCGGCGAGGACGCTGGCGGCGAGGAGGAGGGAGGCGAGCGCGTAGAGGGCGGATTTGGCGCGGCGGGCGAAGATGAAGTGCGCGCCCTGGGCGGCGGCGGCGGTCAGGGGCGGGACGGCGTAGAAGATGAAGCGGGCTTCCTTGTGCGGCTGGAGGGAGTAGACGGCCACGAAGAGCAGGGGCGGGACGACGAGGCCCGCGGCGGAGCGGGAGGTACCCGGCTGCGCGAGGGCGAGCGGGATCAGGAGGGCCAAGGTCAGGGGGTTGACGAGCAGGCGCGGGAGGGCGGAGGAGAAGTAGTAGTGCCAGGGGGAGACGCCCCAGTTCGACGAGGAGCCGAGGACGGCGTTGTAGTAGAAGCCCCAGAGCTCCGGCCAGAGGGGCTTTTGCCAAAAGTACGAGTCCAGGGGCACGGAGACGGCGAGGGCGACGGCGAAGGCGATGAGGAAGGGGCGGACGAGTTGGGGGATTGTGAGCTGGCGGGTGAGGAGGAGGTGGAGGCCCGTCATGGCGAGGAGGATGGCGACTTCGGAGCGGAAGATTGCGGCGGCGAAGACGAGGAGGGAGAGGGCTACGCGGAGGCGCGGGAGGTGGGATTGCGGGGATTGGTTCGGGATGAGGTTTGCGGATGCGAGGGTTGCTGTGAAGGGTGTTTGTTAGAATGTTGAATCCCGAGAGGGGGGCAAAGAAAAGGGGTGTTGGAAGACATAGAAAACTCACTCAAAGCAAAGGCAAACATGTTGGGCAACGTCCTCGACGCATAAAAGATGACGTGGAACTGGCCGACGAGCAACAGAACCCACCACCGCATGACGCCCTCGCCCATCCCCCTTTTCAGGCTCCTGGCAAACACGACGAGGGCGGCGGCGTTGGCGAGGCCCAGCAGGCCGCGGACGACGAGCTGGGCGTGGGCGAAGCCGACGAGGTTGACGAGGGGCCCGCCGAGGCCGGCGAGCAGCACGGGGCCGACAAAAGTGCGGGGCACGGCGCCGGGAAACTCAAAGTGGTCGTAGGTGGCCCTCAGACGGGCGGCGACGTCGTGGGTTGGCGTGCCGTAGACGAGGACGTCGTGGGTGGCTTGGATGTTGAAGGATTCCTCTACTTTTGTGTCCGGGGCCAGGAGGAGGTGGAGGGTGATGAGGGCTGGGATGAGGCCCAGGAGGGCGGTATCTGAGTGACTGATTAGTATCTTTCATGAGTTGTGATGAGAAATTGGGGGTGTTCTTGTTTGGGTTACCTAGGAGCTTCATTGTGATGGTGCCGTCAAGGAGACGCAGAAGCTGTGAGATGTCGTTATTGAAAAGCAGGTGAAGGAGCGTGTTGTTGTCGGATGTGACTATCTCATTGTTGGAAGATACACGAAGAACAGGAAAGCCCCGGTGAAGAAGCGAGAAAAAGATGGGTTTGAAGAATGAGAAGATGTGTTTTGAAACAATTTGCCCTGTGCTTTTTCCCTTGCCTCATATGGGCCTCAATTCTTTGCTTCTCACGATTTCCGCTCCTTTTCGCTTCGAAGCAGGTGTAAGCTGGCGTCTCGTGCAGATCCAAATGCCATTGAAAGGGTCAAGCTATGAGCGTCCGTGCACAGCCCAGCACCACCAAGCACCACTCAATGCAAGCTGTCTACTAGGAACTTAGGGGGTCAGCCATGCCGCGATAGAGTGACAGGCCACCTAAGGTACGGGGCACCTATTGCATGGATTCTCCTTCGGAACGGATCAAATACGCCTCCCCACCTCTGACGGCGCATCCCATCCCTCCCAAGGTAAGCTCTGGACAGCGCAGCGCAACACCATCACCACCTGGCTTCAATTCGAACGACCAAGAGCTACCCCTTCCCACAAGCTCTGCCAACAGAAAGGACACAACAACACCAAACCCGCACTTTTGCGCGCCCAGGGCTTCCCCAAGCCAACGTCAAAACCGCCAAGATGTATATCCTAGGAAACTTCCTCTACAGTACGTCCACCCTAAACCACTTGGCCCCCCCACGAAGCTTTTCCCGCCCATACTGACATTCCTCCTTTCTCCTCCCAGTCGCCGTCCTCCTCATCAACGCCATCGCAGTCCTCTCCGAAGACCGCTTCCTCGCGCGCAGTACGTCCCCGGCTAATCTTAATCCTACCCAGCAACATTGCCGTTCTGCGCCCTCCGGAAAAGAGACATCACAAGCTAACCCCCCGACTTCCCTTTTTTCAGTCAACCTCTCCCCCTCTTCCTACGACCCGACCTTTGGCTCGAGCAACGACGCAAGCGTAAAGGCAAAGATTATCAACCTGATCGCCAGCGTACGGACACTGATGAGAAGTACGTGACTACATCCCCGACATTCGTCTCTCTTTACATGAGCACTTCCACACGGAAACGCCCTTTGCTGACGGTCTGCCACAGTACCCTTGATCGGAATCAACACCATCATCATTCTGTACGAACTCATCCTCGGATAAGGTGTTATATTGGGGTACAGGAGATGAGATAGAAAGATATAATAAAAAAAAATGAAGGGGGCTGCTGCTCTTTAATGCATCGTATATGGCTTGAACTTTTTTACTTCCACGGCATGGCATCATGGTAACGAACCGGCGTTGAAGGATGGAGAGCGGATGGGGTTCGGCTGTCAATGGCACGCACGTATGTGTATTTTATCTGAAAATGTCCCCGGGTAACATCGTAAAGCCCGGCGAGTGTAATATCACAATCAGCTGAGGAGGATGCCTGCATTGTTCCAATCCGAGTTTCGGAACCCGAGAGAGCCTTTCTGCCCTTACGTGCTCTGTACTGTCTTTTGTTGATCACACCTTGCGCTATCATACAGCCCGATGAGGTAGGTGCCAGGAGAAAGTAACTAACGCTCAAGATGCCTTCATCACAACGTATCCTCTTTTGCATCATTAAGTGAGAAAAGTATTATCCAAGCAAACCACTCCATGCCTGGGTATCTGCGCATGCCGCCACCTCTCCATTCCCCTAAACGTCCATGCCGCCGATGGATAAGATGCGCACCCAACGCTGGGCGCGTGGGTTGTACATCGTGCAGGATCCTGCTCTTCGCCCCTTTTTTTTCCTGTATGTACTGTCAAATACCAAAATCTTCAGATGAATCGTTAGAACCTCATGCGCCACCTCATGACAGAAGATTACCGCTCTTCTTCCGGCCGAGGTTGAAACTAAATCTCTCCCTCAGTTCTTTGGGCTTCTCAGGTTGAGTCGGCACCCCTTCTGGACTAGCATGTCCATTCTCAGATGACTGATGCGATTCAGCCTTGTCCTTGTCTTTGCTGAGGAATCCGAAACTCTTCCTGCTCATTGATTTGCTCGCCCGGCTGGATCGGTTGAGGAAACTGCCTGAGCTTGACGACTCCTTCTTCTTGTCTCCTTCTGCCGATTGCATGCTAGCCTTGATTGCTCTGCGCATATCTTCTGCTTCTCGTGCATGAGCCGTTCTAGCCCTAGCCATACTCTCTCGGTGTTCCTTGTCTTTGAGCTTTTCCTGCTCTTTCTCAGCTTGTTTTCTGGCTTTGTCCGCTGCCTCCTGCTCCTTCTTCTCCCGCTTCTTGTCTTCTTTGGACTTGTCTGCCTTGGCGCCCGTGTTTGATCTGGCGAGGCTTGATGGAATAGGGGGAACAGCAGGAGTGGCCGGTGTATCTATCACAGGGGGATGAACCTTTTCAGATGGCAGAGCATCCACCTTGCCGGGAGCTGTCTGTGCATGTGCCAGACTGGGCAACGGCTCTCGTTCCTCAACGGGACTGACTGGCTGTGTATACTGCTTCGAAAGTGGTGTCGTACCGTTTGGTTGGCCATTTTCATGAGCAACATTAGCGGCCTCGCTGGCAATTTTGACCTCTTCCAGACCCTCGGCCTCCATCTCAGCTTGTACCTTCTCAAAGGTGGTTTCTTGGTAGAAGAGGACATAAGCGCATGCCATGCCAGGCTTGTCCCCGAAGAAGTTCCGCACGAAATGTTTGTCAACCGGTTCCACCATCTCGTCATCGAACAGAACCCAACCCCGATCTTTCGTCTTGATCACTGATACGTAGTGGCCGTGATAGGCGTTTCCGCCAATATGAACAACGACAGCGTATAGTTCATAGAGCCGATCGGGATCTTCAGCGTCGTCGGTGGTGTTGAACATGCGTAGATGGTACGGGTAGACGACCCGATGGAAGAGCTTCTGTAGTCGGCTGTAATCCTCGGTATACTTGAATCGTTTCAGGTGCAACGCGAGAACCTTTGGTAAACGCTTAATCTTCATCCGCTTCTCAGCCTCTTGAAGCCCACCACAATGGTCGCAGTGGAATTTGTTGCGCTCACACAACATCTCCTCAGCGGAAAATTTACGCAGGCAAGACGTAACTGATGAATGCTCCTCTAGATCGATAGACAAGTCCAGGAACGTCTCATCTCTTTGCGAAGCCGTTTCGCAGGTCAAACACTTGGTTTCGGAGGTCAATACACCCTCAAAGATATCATGAACCCAGCCGGTTCCTGGGGATCCCACGCCATTCACTGGTCGGTTTATCAGACTAGTCGCGCCAAGAGCGTTCTCCACTGACTGGATAAGTCCGTCTTTATTCTCGGCCTGTCGTTCTTGAATTCGCTTGGCATTCGCTTCCACGTTGGAGATGACATCGTTCAATACGAGACCGTAGAACTCGTGAGCATCCTGGTGCATTGAGTTCCGAAACATCTCGTTGTCTCGTTTGAAGATTTCCAGAAATCGCTGTGGACTCAACACGCCTGTCCTAGTATTGCTCTCGATGAGGGCCTGGAAGATGTCCTTGAGACCAGTGAAGGTGCATTCTTCCATGCCGTAAGCGGAGGGATTCTCTTGTGCCAGCTCGAGAATGGGGCCCTTGATCATAGCGTGTTTCTTCTTGTACTCTGGCGAATCAGGCTTGTCCTCAGGTCGTATGCCCGGCGCTCCTGGGGGTGGCATTCCCGCTGTGATGGCCTGCCTGCGCTTCATTGATTCCGATGCACTCAGGCCTTTCTGTTTCGCTCCGGGTGTATTCGGGGGCTCTTTGGCGACTGGCGGTCGGATCGTCACATTCACCTTTGGTCGAGTTCCGTTCGGGGTATCGGTAGGTGATAGTGTGGGGTACTTGACGACGTGGTCTCGGAAGGATTCTGAGTAGAACAACGCTTGAACAATGGAGTTGCAATAACTACAGACACGTCAGCAAATGAGAGACGATGTGGTGATGATAGCATCGCTTACCAAGTATTACCAAACTACGGGTTCAGTCAGCATTCGTTGTCTCGGGAAAGGCGGTCGCTAGGCCGGGTGTGACTTCGAAAACTTACATTCTCCAGACCGAAGAACTTGTCAGTCCCGTCTTCCCTCAATGGGCCAGCATTTTGCAGCATCTTCTCCAAAGGAGTGAGCTCCGGTGCTGGCTCCTCCTTGACCTTTTTGCTCGGTACATCTTTGCTTGTTGGACTCGAGGTGGTCTGTGAAGGACGAGGTCTGTCAGCTGGAAGAACGCGCGAGCAGCCGCAGCAGAAGCAGAAGCACAGCAGAGAGGAAAGAGAATTTCAGAGCACGCGATGAGCAGAGTATAGTCAAAGAAATGACGGGAGGAGGGAACGCACATTGCCCGCGCTCTTCAGTTTGTTGAAGAAGCCAGCCATGTTGGCGACTTGTTGGGATCGTGGATTTGGCTTGAAGGGTGATGTCTGGGCGAGACAAGCTCACGGCGGCCGCGCAGAAATGGCGAAATGTACCATGCGATGGACAATTGATGTCGTGGTGAAGGGTACACAGTGGGAAAGGTGCGGAGAGAGGTATTATTGTGTATCCGAGGAGATTCGAGAGATGCGCGCGGTTGTGGCGCAGAGGAGTAAGGGTCGTTTCCCTCGGTGATTCGGCCGAAGATACGGGTGGTCTGTGGAAGCAGGGTGGGAAGAGAGAGGACCGAGAGGTGTCAGGGAAGATTGGATGCGGGCAACGGTGGTGGAAGCAGCATTTGCCAGGACGCAGACTCTCAACCCAGCCGTGTTGGCAGTAGAAAGAGGAGGAGTAGGATGATGATGATGAGGGACAATGTGGGAAGTGGATGAAGAAGAGGGAGGGAGGATTGGTAAGAGGCGTAGTCTGCGGTACCTAGCAGCTGGGTGGGTGAGAACAAGGTAAAAGATGGAGGAGCCCTGGGCGGGATTTGGACGTTAGACTTGGGGTCCTGGGGTTGATGGGCGCAAGTAACAAGGAGGATGGAGGCGAGGTTGTGGGTTGGAGAGCCTGGATTGGGCACGTAGTGGCAGACGCGACAGCGACAGACAGACAGATAGGTAGGCGGGCAGACGATGGGTGACAGGGCACGCTGCACCTCTCACTCTCAGCCAGCAGGGCAGACGACAGACAGGCCAGAACCGTACCTTATGGATACTTGGTGTACCTACGGACTGCATACGCAGGAGACCTGAGTGACGGGAGTCTGCGAACTTGATTGCGAGCTAAGGTACGGAGGAGACCATGGACACCCGGCGCCGGGAGCGACTACTGCAAGTGGTGGTACGCAAGTACGGAAAAGAAGGTGACTTTTGTTCAGGCTGACTGCGAGTGGTGGGGAGGACACCGAGGAGGAGGGGGCCCCACCTGGACAACCCACAACCTGACGGTGTCAGTGGAGGGAAGGTGGAGGTCGGTGGAAGGAATCGAAGGGTTGCAGTGCACAGAAAGGGGGCTAGTTCGTTCTCGAGTGCAGGGCTAGACAGGCCAGACATGGGGTTTCCGACCAGGGGGTGGCATGGAGAGGCTGGAGCAAGTTTGGCGTCTTTTTGCTTCCCAGACGGAGGAGTAAGTAGGTATTTTCTTCTTCTTTTTGGTTTTTCCTCTTGCTGGTGGTCAGTGGTAAGGTAGGTACGGAGTACTTTGTCACTTTTGGATAAGCGATTGGAGAAGAAGCGGAGGAATGAGGAGAAAAGTGACGAGGACGGATAAAAGGATGCCTCCAGAAGAAGACTTGTAAGTCCTTTCCTGACCTTACGGATGCACTACCTAGGTATGAATACGTACCCACATACGTACCTTACTGATGGCGGGCAGCAATTGGAAGAGGTTGGAGACCCGTGATCCGACCAAGGCACGAAGGTACGAAGGCTTCAAGGCAGGAAGACAAGAAGAAAGGAAGGCAGGAAAAAGGCAGGATCACGCCGCAGTCGCACATTACCCAAGATACGTACTAGTAGCCCTTGGTGGACTGCGAGTGGATCGCATATTCCTTAGGTAGGTGGACTTACGGATTGGCAGGTTGACAGACGGTAAGGTAGACCCGACAAAACTGAGCCCACGACGGACGACGGACGGAGATAACGGCCGACATGACGCTATCTCTCCAGCTTCTTCTTCTTCTTCCCCTCTCTGAAGTCCACTGCTCTCTCACCTGCCGGGCTCGGTCTCTCACCGTCGTCAAGCCCAGGTGAGAGAAAGCGCGCAACCAACGTGGTCAATGAATCAAGGTTGAAGGTTAGGTGCGAAGAGGCGAGGGTGAAGGGCTGGGTGTTCCTGACGGCGCTTCCAAACAACGAGGCGAATAGCAGGTGGGAGGGGGAAACTGCCTACAACTGCGACTGCAATGTGACTGGCGACACTAACACTTTACCCGATTGCGACCGACGGCTGTCTCTTGTCGTCTCCTGCCCGTCCTGTCGGCTCCAGCATTCTGAGGTAGGTACGGAGTACTTCCCCTACCAATACGTACCGTCGATACCTACGTACCTCCTCTTTTCAGTCTTCATCAACATCTGCATTCCATCACCTTCGTGAAACTCACTGCACTTTGTGTGTCAGACGACATGTTTCCTGGTCCAACCCGTCCCGCAGCTGACTTCCACATCCGTCTTGTCTCTCTGGCAACTCAATAATGGCCCCAGAATGCTCCCCCTGAACTGAGACATGCGACGTACTGTTCGCCAGCCGCGTCTCTTCTCCTAGCATGTCCCGACCTGGACATGGTGGGATAGCGCAAATGTTCTGCAGGACGCGAGCACGCATCATCTAACTACGGATTGGCCAGGCTTCCTCTCTCCCCCCCAGTAACTTTGGCATGGCATATAATACTTCGTACGCAAGACGATTGCACCGCAGCCAAGCCAGCCTGGGCACAAGACAAGCTCAGCCTCTCTCACACAACAGCATGCAGAACAACCCTTCCATAGCATGTTCCACCATAGGGCGAGGCATTCTCTGCTGCAAGAGCCTTTTTGCCCAGGCGGGAGCCATCCGCAAGCCTGAGCCTCCCTCCCACTGCGGACTACCTATCTATTACGAGGTATAACGACTGTTATTGGTGTTCCTGCTCACGTACTGTATAGATAGATACGACCTCTTCTTCGAACCCTTCATTGACAGCTCACGGCTAGCTAGCACTCCCACGAGAGGCTATTTCTGATAGCGTTGAAAGTACCATTCAAGTGGTCCTTTCCATCCTTGCCCAGTTTCCACCAACTCGTCCGTGTCGCCCAACCGCCTTGCTGACCAACATCAAGGCACGGAGCACTCAACAGCCTGCCATGTGAGCACCCTCGCTCTCCGCACTTTGACCCACTGGCGACCAGACACCAGGACGGCCAGGGCTATCCACGGCAAGGTCCCTGTCGATTCGGTCACCGTTCGCCCAGCACCCAGCATCCTGCTTGTCGGGTTCTCTTTGGCGTACCTGTCCGTACTCTCCACTGTACAGAATACACCCAGCGCCCATCCGCTATCCAGCTTCCGGCGGCTTCCAGCCATCACGGCGGAGTAGGTAGACAATGGGCAGGAAATGGAAATCAGAACGACCGCGCATGTATCGAGACGGTTCAAAACGATCCCTGTACCTCCACGCGCCCTTCTGATGGAAATACGATGCCTACATGAGCCCGGAATACTTCTCCGCTTACCTCACCCACCAACTCTTCAACTCGCCGTGGGAACAACGCCACCAGCGGACTGATTATCTGAACTGTGAGACAAAAGGCCGCATCCTCACCCGCCCGGGAAGAACCACCAGAGGAACCCCGTTGCCCTCCTCGTTACCTGTCCACCACGCCTGCTACGCCCCGACACGACGGTCCGCTGGAACGCTACCCTTGGCTGGCCGTTGGATCCTCTTTCCTGGTCTCGTCCGTTCTGCCTGTCCAGCTTTGTCTATTCGTCGCGCTCGCTATCGGCCTGACCCTCACCTACGCAGTACCTACAGGCTACACAGTAGACATCCCGCTTCCTTCATCTGTCTCGCCCGACTGCTGTCCTAGGTTTCAAGATTGTTGATGGCACCCTCACGTCCAACGCGCCCTTGATTGGGTCCAGATATTGACGTCCTCCAGCCTGGAGGCCTGCTGCTGCTACATAATGGCTCCCGTTTTCGATCCAACGACCGCCGCTGGTGAGGATCTGCGCTCAACATGCCGTTTTGCTTAGACTTTGCACGTCAAGTTGTCAGTAGATCACGACCCCTAATTCTGAACAACAGACGACCGCCCGTCACCATCGCCTATACGTACTCAGCAATTCATTCGCTTCTTGTATCCGAGCCCCTTTGGCGGCCTGCGGCACAGCATCACCCGAGGTATACACGCTACGTGGGGGCCGAAAGTCGCTCGGCCTAGCTGCCAATAATGTCCAAACCAGACAGCCCCGAACACAGGCGCTTCGGGTACGAACGTGGCTTCTCAGGCCGACTATCCCTTCCCGGCATGTCTCCGAAGTCGTGTGGTCACGAAGAGTATCTGGAACTCTGCTGAACTATCCGTCCAAACACCCAAACATTCAGTCTCAAGGGTAACCGGGCAGCGCATTGCTAATTCAGTCATTGTTAGTCAGTCTCTTACTTTCTACGGTACCCATCAAACCTAGCCACCCTAGACCAACCGAAGCTTTGTTGCCCCTCAAACGCCGGTTGCTCAATCGGGGATGAGGGCGTTCTCCAAGGCCTTTTATTTGGTGGGAAAAAGCACCCGACGGCTTACACATCTACCTATAGTCTACAAACTACAACGCCTTAGCTGCCGACTTCAAGTCTGAATTTGTCCCCGCACCCCGGAAAAAGAGGCGTTCTTCCTGAGTCGTTGGTGTTGCAGACTGCCGTCTTCTCGACGATCGATGAGACGGACATCGTCCAGGACAGGCTTGCTGCAACCTCCTCTTGACACGGCCAGCAACCTTGGCCTGATGAACTGCCAGAGTCCCTGTAGTGTTTCTCTTTTTTTCGACTCCTCGTTCCATGCTTCGAAGCCTTGCCGCAACAGCATGCGACTCGCACAGGAGCGTCTCGGTAGGTAACCCAGACATGACCCCTCTCTCTTACAGGTTGCGAGTTGCGAATTACACTCCAACGCAACGTAACCCGCCCTACCTGAAGATGGCAGATTCACTACAACGGGCGAGAGCGAGCGCCAATGAACAGCTGGTTGACCCGTCATGCCAGGTCAGGGCCACATACGACTACCTCGAAACCCCTACACATGCCTCTCCGCCGTGTTGGATCCCTTGGTGCGGTGCAGCCACCCCGAAAGACATTGTTGCATCGCGGTTGGTGTGAGAGGATCGACGGCTCGACGCTACTGGTCCGATTCCGTGTCTAGCTGGACGGGGGACGACGCCGTTGTTACCTTCATCCACGCTGCTGGACCCGAGCTCATTCGTCAACTCACCTCCCGTGCTTATTCGGTCCATCTTAAGACATGCCTCCCGTCTCTCCCCTCCGACACACGCCGAGTCTTTTCACAAACACAACAGTGGAGCAAAGCTCTGTCGATCTGCTGCTGTTCGCCTCCCCTTGCTTCAGCATGTCCCTCTCACCAGGCATGGGGAACGCTATTATACCTGGCCAGCATCTATGCGGGGGATATCCGCTCGACACCGACAGAATGCCCAATTGACATTGCCAATCAGCATTACACCCACTCGCTTCTTCACTGCACCTTCGTCGCATCCATGTCCGATCGAAACCACTCCATCATGGCCCATCCTGAACGCTCACTCCCAAACCCTCACCTCCTCAACAACTCCGCAGTCATAACAGGTATCATCCATGAGCGGACCCCAAGAGCCCCTCGTCACTTTTCGACGAAAAGCACCCGAACGGATAACAAATTCGGGAGACATTGCATTGTTTACGGGAGACTAGTACGGCCGAGGGGAAGGCATACCTACGTTCAACGCCAACGCCACTTAGCTATTGTGTCTGGAGCTATCTTCGTTGTGCCTCGCTCGTGGCGCACCTTGGCTTACTTGGCTTAATCCATCGAACATCTTTGGCCAACAGGCACTACCATTAGGTAGGGTATCGCAGCCAACCGATTTGCAGATGCCACCTCTAGAACCACCCGCGCTCCATCATCCACCATGTGCAGCACACTGGCGGTTTCTGGTAGGTCAGCGTCCTCCACACGGTCCCGTACCGGCCCGATTCCCACGAACTTCTGGAAGACATGGACGTCATGCTCTGCATCCCTCGGTGCCATTTCCCCCACTGCCGCCCAAGCACTGTGAAATGACGAATTATTGCTCTTCACTCTTCGACCCAAAGCTCCAAATTTTGCTTAGCAAGACTCGGGAAGTCTCGACTCTTCAGAGGCCGGGTACAGGGGATCAGGCCTCAGAAGTCTTATCCATCCAACTGCAGAGAGACCTTTACCGGTGCCGGCGCACGACTGCCGGAGCGTCCCCCGCGCCTAAGTTCGGACGGCTAAGTCGCTCTGCAGGTGGTGTGGTATCCCGCCCCGGCGTCGCCGGCGTCCGGGCCTGGCCTTTTTCTCGTCACTACGTTGTTCTGTTGGAGCTAATGTTTTCTAGTGCCATGTACGACTATTCTGACAAGTCGGTCAGCATCATCACCTGGTGCACTGAGTTGACTGATTTGACTGTGCCATTTCACATCGTGTGGGTTTGGCACCTTTTGACACGATGCTATCCTTCATATGACACGTTGAGACAAACCCAAACGTGAAGCTTAAACCTTGAAGGCCAAAACCTAAGGCCACGTTGAGTCTTTTCTTTCTTTTCGTTGTTGAAAAGATGAATGTGCTAGCAAGACGGCATTCGTTCCGTTGCTGTCCAAGACAGATGATGCAGTTCGGTCGTTGATAGTCGGCATCAGCTTTAGACGGGAGATCTAGGCTTGGGAATAGTATTCTGATCTGTATTCAAGGACGTCGTTCAAATCAATAACGTCTACGCTTCCCGTCTTTTGCTCCAGACCTTTTTCCGTTTCTGCCCGGGTTTTCTTCTTCTCCTTTTATCAAGTTCCTCGGTTCCCCCCGCCATCCCCCGTCCTCAACATAGATCTTCTCACAATTTGAATGCCTGAAAGTAGCATCACAGCTTTGCAGGTGCATTACAGTATGGGCATGGTGGTTTATGTCCTACCGTTAAAACCGTATCCCATGTCAAGTTTGATCGTCTCCAGTCTGAAGCCAGGCCGAGGGAAAAACATTCGCTTTTCATGTACGGACGTACTGGTAACGGGACGCCAAGTGACGCCGAGGAGAAAGATTTACGATGAGGGCGAACCCAGTTATGAGGAGAGAGCGCGAAAGAAAAAAGAAAGAAGAAGAAAACGTGCGTGATATTTCAACTCCCCCTGGGGGCTACAAGTTGATCTCTAAGCATACGACTTTGACGGGGAAGGGAAAAGACAAACAGACAAATGTCACTGCGGTTGCCATGAACATGTGGAATAGGGGCAACTGTACCCGTCTTAGCATTCAAATTACCTGCTACAGATTCTCACAGTAGTGGCAAAAGCACACAGAGATGAGCAAGAAATGTATCGATTCAAAAGATCATACTTGAACGAGATAAATTGCAATGTGGCATCGCGATCCGACCAAGCGCGGTTCTTCTGGCCAAAGCGTCCCACGTGAGAGAAGAATGACTGATGACGGACCTCTTGTTGAGACGCTAGACCCATGCTTTGGTCAAAGGATGTTAACACGAACATGAAAATAAGAAGGCTCGAAGAAGCGTGGGTGCGAGTTTAAGCTAGGTGAGCTTCTACACATTTGTAAAAAGACTCTTTCATTGTTACAGTAGTGTAAGAGCTAAGAGAACTCCCTCGAGAGATCCTCAGTGTTCATAGTATACTAGCTGGACAACCCAGGTTGCAGTGGTCCAACCCTCCGTTCACCCAACCATTAGGATATCTGCTGAATTACTTCTTCTCGGCGGGGGGAGCTGCTCCTCCGGTGGTGGGGAAGCCCATGAAGATCTTGAAGTAGTCCTGTTCATTCATGTTAGTCACTGTTCTCAACTCCTTTCAATAACATTATGACGGCCACTCACGTAGATCATCCACTGGAGACCGGTCAGGGTACCAATCATGACGATACGGACAGGCAGACCGTTCCAGAGACCAGAGAATCCAATGTCCTTGTAGATCCTGCCCATAGCCGCACCGAACGCCTCGCCCTGCGCGCGGTTCGCGTTGAGCTTGCTGACCATGACATCGGCCGGGTGTGAGACGATGGCGCAGAGGATACCTGCCAGGTAACCGCTGACAAACGACACGCCCGTCTGGGCGGCCTTGCTGTAGTCAGACTTTTGACCCGGGAGGCGGGCGTACATCATCTCGACAATGGTCTCGAAGGAGGCGAACTTCATCATGGTGTAGGGAATCTGTCGGCCCCAGAGCGGGTACAGGCCCTTGTAGAGGCCTCCCCACCCTTCCTTGGCCGTGACCTTGCTGATGCCGTCGAGAGTGCCCTTATAGGGGGACGGGATACCACCCTGCATGCGGACCTTGACAGCCTCAAAGGGGCAGAGAGCGATGTCGGCGAGGAATTCGGCGGAGGCTGAGGCGGAGAGGAAGAGAATCGTCTGGTACTTTTTGGCGTTGTCGGGGCCCGCGAGGTCGGCGTAGGTCTTGGAAGTTGCGTGTTAGTCACGAGGCTTCCTTCGTCGGGCTGAGATGTGAAATTTGGCGTGGATTTGTATCTCCTTACCTTTTTGAAGTATTCGTAGAATCCGTACTTGCAAGCTCCCTGCGCGGAGTAGCCCCAGAAAGTCGGGCCCCAGCCTGTCATGATGCCACGGAGACCCTCCTTTCGGAAGATCATTCCCCAAGCCTGGAAGTTTCCGCGGTACAGCTTCGAGTCGATTTGTCTTCTCACTTTGACAAGATCCAGAGGAGTGACGGCGGTATGCGTCAAGCCCTAGCGTTTAGTGTTAGTCGAGTCGTTCTCCTAAGTTTTCGTTGCGGCCCGGAGCCGGGGCCCGGCGCCGTTGTGGGGACCCCGGAGCGGAGACGAGGACACCCATCATGGACAACAAGGACGCGTCAAAGTCAAGGAAGACAAGGGGAACTCACGCAGGCCATGAGGCCACCGACGGTGCAAGCAGCATAGTACTTTCCAGAGTACAGCTCAATCTTGCCGCCAGCCGCAGACTGGGCCTTGGCGCTGGCCTTCTCAAACTCGGCCGTAGCCTCGGCGCTGAGCTGCTTCGCCTTGCCCTTGACGTCGTCAACGGTGGAGAATGCGCCGTAGAACTCGGGGCGGGCCTGGTAGCGCGTAGGTTTCGCCATGGCCATGGTGTCCACTGCCTTGTTAGGACGGCTGCCAAAAGGGGACGCAAAGCATCCCTTGAGGGTATCTTGTCTAGGGTAGAGGAATGACATGGTGGTCGGGACGCAATTCGTCTGGACCGGGAGGGTTGAATGATGTGGGATTTCTTCCGCAAGGATATCTGGCTGATGAAGTTAGTCGGGAGGTAAGGTCAAGGACGATCATACCCCTGCGATAAGCTTGAGAGGTGGATTGAGCGCGTAATTGATTTTCGCAATGGAAGCTCCCGCTCGAAGGAGACGGGCGACGCCGGCAATGGGCGTATACGACACGATGTTGAAGAGAGTAGACAAAAGAAGTTGAAGACCTCTACTCACCAAAAGAGCGAGCTGAGAGGGGTTTCTAGCTCAAAGAACAGTGTGCAACGTTAGTCGCGCGACACAAATGACCGTTTCCGGCGTATGAGCGACAGCACCTTGAGAGTCGAGAGCTGGGTACTTCTCGAGAATGCGGAATCAGAGGAAGAGGAGAAGATTGCGAGTGAAGTCGTCGCAAACACGCATACACAGGAAGAAGAAGAAGAAGCCAGGACGAGAGAGAGGTCAGAAGCAGGTTTATTATCATGCGAATATAATTGGGGGAAAGGGGGCGCCGGCGCTGATGAGTGGACGGACAGGATAGCTCAGGAAGGAACGGGGTTCCAACGAGGAGGTAAGCAGTGATTGCCTCTAGAATAAGGCCCAGGAGGTGAGGGAAGGAAGGGGTCGGTTCGGATGATTCGGTCACGTCCATGTCGCGGGTACCTCGACCTCATCAACAGTTTGCCGTACAAAGTCGCCTGGACTTGGGTAGAGCTTACGCGCCAGTGACCGACAGCTGCGGCGGAAGGTGTTGGGAGGGTATGGGTGACATCACACCTCATAAGGGGAGGTCTCGACTCTGATGCAGAGCTGTGAGACGTGCTGTACTGTGTACTAGAACAGGAGTAAGGTAGCTTGAGTGGGGCACCGGCATGCGACAGAATACGACGAGAGGGAAAGCTCCCGTGTTATCGCGAAATGGCCCGCGCTTATCCCCGGATTTTGCGGAGCTTCGCCGTGATTTCAGTGTTTCGTCTCCCGGCCGCATTTTCCAACCCTCTTGTCCATCAATCACTGTCCAATTGAAATTTTTATTTGAGTAACAATTTATTCCCTTTTGATCGCTCTTTTCCCCTTGATTCTGCTTCATATAGTCTGTGGTAAACGACGGAGAGATGGAAATGGAGATACGCTGCAAACTGACCGTGACAGAGCCGATGACCCAAATAGGAAATTGCTTTGAAACTACACTAAAGCATCCAGGCTGACCGCGATCGTAAGAACTTCCGTCGAGGGATTTTAGAATGACTATTCTCATTCTCGATGCGCGCGATGAGAAAATTTCAGCGAGCAGATGACCGGAATTCTATGGATCTCATTCTCGAAATGGTAGGTCTAATCTGGTATTCCTTGTTTCGACTTCGCGAGATATTCTACCAACGGACTGATCCGTGATACTCAACCCGATAGCTCCCGTGGCGTTTGGTGACTCTTCAGCAGCAACACCCCGCTGTGGAACCCCCAAGGTCGGTGAAGGAACGGCGGCAGGCAGCTTCAGCGAAACCTTAACAATTTGCGGATGGATACAAGGCGCAAGTGGACCGTGTTGGGATCCCACCCCCCCGACATGCAAATTCGCAATGGCGGGCAGCCGCCCCCGGCGCGCGCGTCTGTGAGCAAATCCGAGACACCGCCCGACTCTCAAGTGTGGCGTTCTCCCGTACTCCGTACCTTACCGCCAAATCTTTCAGCCCTGTCGATGTCGACACCGCCCCTCCCTCCCTCTGAAGAACCCCGCGATAATTGATATCATTTCCAACGCAACTGCGCGAGCGACCACCACCAACCACGATCAAACGATACCCACTCTGCCTCGACGATCGACTGTTATCGTGACAAGTGCTCACTCGAGGCCCGGAAAGCTCTTTCAATTCCCAGCAATGGCGGCTTTGGCTTCCACTCCCGCCGCGGCGGCACCTACGTCGCAAACCAGCGAAACCTCCAGTCCCTTCGTCTCAAAATGGTCTTCCCGTTATCGCGGTGTACGTGAACATCCCCTTGAACCGAATCCCGCTTCTCCCTCTTGTCTCTCAGATCAAAGACCTTGGAACCTTCCCAACAAGTAACTAACTTTTACGTTCTCATCATCCAGGCTACAGTAGAAGACATCGACCCCCCCGCCGCCCTCTCCCTGACGCCGACCGACCCCATCTCCCACGCCCTCATCTCCGCCTTTGAGCGCGACTACACCCACCTGACCGTCGTCGACGCTCACCGCGCCCTCGTCGGCTACCTCGCCATCCCCCACCTCCAGGCCCTCCTCGACGCCGGCAAGGTCAAGCCCGAGGACCCCCTCTCCAAGGCCATGGTCCGCTTCCAGCGCAAGGGCCGCACCTACCGCGTCATCACCATGCAGACGCCCCTCGAGGAGCTCGAGGCCTTCTTCGCCGGCGACGGCGTCGAGGCGAAGAAGAGCCACTTTGCCGTCATCACGGACGAGAAGCGGCGGTTCGTGCTCGGCGTCGCGACGGTGCAGGATCTCGAGGAGTTTGTCAAGAGGAGACCGGCGTGAGTGTGCGCTTGTCGAGGACGGATTTAAGAGTGAGAGGTTTGGGGCCGAGCAGTGTTATATCCAGAAAACTGGGATGGCGACGACCATCCAACGGTCGTAATGAATCTATGGCACGACGAAACATGGTAGATGAGACGGTTGGCTGCATCAACTCAGGCGTTGGTGGTTCGCATGTAGAACCGGAGGGAAGCATTGGGACAATGACTGGTACACAGGCAGACGATTCAACATTGCTCTCCCTTGTCATCACGTATATCTTTTTTACAAATGAGCATCCACGGAACAGGAGTTTTTCAGACGGGTTTATTTGTTATGCATGCTCTCAAAGTCTACTCTTCGCCGTGCTATCTATCATAGCCCAAGAGCATAACGGCATTAGGCGCCCTGCAAGTGCGTGTAGTAGCCATACTTCGTGTGTGGTTCGATCGGTCCCATCATCCAACCCCAATGCAAGAATTTCCCAGAAAACGCCGCGTGCGTCAGAATTAAGGAAGGTAGTCGTAAACGAGGCGGATCTCGACTCTCTTGCCGCCCTTCTGAACGAGGACGTTACGAGTGTAGCGTCTCTCGCCCTCGACGGTCTGGAAGCCCCAGATCTGGGAAGCAGTCCAGCCGTTGTCGATGCTCTCGACGTGGCTGTAGAGGTGGGCCTTGCCATCGGGGCCGGTGGCCTCGGCGTCGCCCTCGAGCCAGCCCTTCTTGAGGAACTCGTCCTCAATCTCGGCGAGGGTCATCCAGCGGCTCTGACCACGGACGCTGCCAAACATCCAGTCGGAATGCTCACGCCACTCATTGTCGACACAGCGCTTCTCTGTGGTGCCCTTGAGGCCGGCCGTGGCGAACTGATCAATATCGAAGTGGGTGACGGCCTCAGTGCCGGTGCCAGGAGGGGAGGGAGGAGCGGTGTACTGCTTGACGTCGAGGGTGACAGTGGCGAGGCCGACAGCCTTGCGGGTCATCCAGCCAATGCCCTGGAGGGCGAGAGCAGGCTCCGGAGAATCGGAGAGGGTCTTGTTCTATTGGCGTTGTCAATTTTCTTTCCTTGTGCGCATCTCTGCTCCTTGGTGGTGCTAAAGTATCCAGAACATGGGTGAACGTACCATGACCCACTTGCCGTTGAGGTCGGCGATCGTCTTTGTGGCAGGAGCAGCCATTGTGATGCGATGTGTTGTGTGGATGCGTTTGGTATGTGTTGCGGCGAGAACTAGCTGAAGAAATATTCGACGTTTTATGTCCTGGAGGTTTGGTGAGCTTCAACAAGTAGAATGGGAGGTAAAGGTGTGGTGGTGGCGGTGGTAAAGTACCTTGGGTCGGTGGTCGGAGGGGTTGCAACGGGGACAAATTGTCAACGGGTCCGCAGAGGTGAGATACGTAAATGTAGGTAAGCCTGGTTTGCAAAGGTGAAATGCCGTCAAGCCAAAGTCGTTACTCAAAGCAGGCACAAACTCTGTTTCAGGTAAGCCACCTTCTTCTTTTGTTCGCAGATTGGCGGTAGAATAAATAAAAAGATGGGAATGAACAAGCTGGGCTGAGCAACAAAGGTGACGTGGAATTTGACTCCGGATGGGAGGCGTCCAATCCGTCGCCGCCTTCTTATACGCCGCCTGGTCCGGTATCAGCTCTTTTCCAGTCAGGTCAAGTCAGGAACAAGCTCGCCAGGTGCCTGCCGCAGGACGGAGTACCTACCTACCTAATACATACGGATTGGAGTTGGAAGGTACCTACGGTATAAGGTACCACCGCGGGGGTCAGATGAATTGGCCGCTTTTCCCAGGCTCGATGCTTAGAAGACCGGCCAATTTCTCTGTCATCTACGTAGGTACTTACCGTCCTTACCTTATTCGTACCCTTACCTTACCTTGGACAAGCGGGGCGGGGAAGTATCCTCCCCACACTGACACTGCCACTGCCACGGCTTTCACATGAAGAGAAGAAGCTCTCGCTCTCTCACACTCTCACCTTCGCAATCGCTCAGCAAGCCCCGAATGAGGACAGCTCTCTAGTATCACACGAACGTTCTGCGACCGCTCAGATGTCGGGGCCGAGGCTCGCGAGACAACCTCCACACCCTTACGATTTACCCCAGACCCTGCCAATCTATCTCGAAAAGGGATCGCGCGTGAGATCATGACCGCATACACCCTTCTCTGCAGACTGCAACCTCCCACCCCCAGAACTCTGCACTCCTGTCAGCAGTTTAATCCTCCTCTTAACTCCCCGAATCTGGGCATGCCAGCATACCACCTGAACCTGCGCGAAACAAACGGCCAATGATAGCAACCAGACCGACACTCATAACCCCAATCTGGCCGCCTAGCCCGGTCTGCGTTGCGTCCATCTGGAGATAGTACGGGGAACGTAGCAATCCGAACAACCGTTCTTCATGACTACTAGAACACTATCCTCGACGATGCTCATTCCGGTCCCACGTGCACCCTGAGTGTCACTTCTCAAGTTCCCAATCAGGCAGCCAAGAAAGGACAAGCCCAGAGGCGAACGGACGCTGCAGCTTCCGAGGCTCGAGGCAGCGCTGAAGAACAAAAGAAAAAGAAGAAGAAAAAAAAGACTCGAGGGGCTTTTGCACGGTCTTCACGATGTAGGGCCGGCAAGGGTCATTACTCAAAGCAATCAAGGCAGGCATATATGCATGACGGGTAAAGCAGACAGACGCAGGGACAGACAACAGCTCACAGGCGCACAATTCGTCTGAGAGCTTCGACACTGCTTGACGCTTGTATCCGAAAAGCAATGTCGCATACACCGACAGCTTCTCTCCCCCTCTACTCCGCCAATGACACAACGCCAGTCACGAACTCGGTCCCCCCAAACTCTCCATCCCGTCTCGGGCGATCAGGCGGAAGATGTCAACCCACGGCTTCGGCAGACTTTTGGTCACACTCGGCCTTTTCAGTCCGAAGCATGTGCGGGACGGACGCTTGGTTTTGCCCGTGGTGGTGGATTGGGACGGGGCCAACCAAGCGAGCTGCATTCTTTTTCCAGTTCAGGCTCGCTCTCTCCGTCCGTGGGGTTCATCTCCATAAAACCTTCCACAAGTCTGGCTCAAGCCATCGTGTCAATCTCAGCATCTCAGAGCACTCAGCAGTGGACTCGGTTGTCGACTAGCTGGTACCACTGCTACCCGTCTCGGGTGCCTCATCGCACGACAGCATCCCGTCAGCGGCTCGCTGCATCAGCTTGGGAAACTGCAGACATTTATTTGACAACTCGCACAGTAGTGCCAGCCGACCAACGTCAACGTCGACGTCGACCGAACTTGTCTTTGGCTCCTTGTTCCTCGCTCCGGGTTTCTGAACCAGACCCTGAACCGACCATCGGGGAACGATGTGTTTTAGCATCCGTCACACAAGCGAGCGAACCGAAGCGCAATGAGAGGCATCCGAATAAAACTCGTCTATTCGACGAATCGTCTCGAGGATTTCCGGTGCCTGGTTGGGATGACTCCTGCGTCCGAAATGGGTCCGGCCGATGAACGAAGCTTCAAGTCTTCAATTCTTCGAGATGGCAAGTAGCGCCGCAGCGAAGAGGGAGACACCTCGTTGCGGCGGGGTCAAGCTCCAAAGAAGTCGGTCACGCAGGCAGGAGAATCCCAGCTCCCACGGGGGCCAAGAGGTGGCCGTCCGCGACGTTCCCGCCCGCGGAAAACCACACGTGAGAGCTCTTTGCTGTTTCAAGAATATGCCAGCAGGCAACCCCCTGCTTGTGACAGCTCAGGTACAGCTCCCTTTCTTTCAACATGCTTCAAGAATATGCGCGCTCCATTTATTTATTTATTTTGGCCTAATTTCGTCGTGGATTACTGCCTTCAAAAATGTCGCCAATATACATGGCCGGAGCTACGAAGAGTAATAAAAGGAAAAGGATATCTTGGTTATACAAATGCCCCGGCACTCCCCGGCACTCCCCGCCATCGGCTCCTGAATGCTGCTCGCACGCAGTGGAGTTTCCAAACAAACGATTCGACTGATATCATGGCGCGCTCTCTCTCTGTCTCTCTCGCTTCCCCCTTCTCGATTCCGCAACCCGCGCCCGCGCCTGCGTTGGTACCCTTCCCCGTGCTTCGATTCAAACGAATCCAGGCCGAAAGTCATCATCCGCACGCCGTTTTATGCTTCTAATTCGTTTCCGTCCGTCCGTGACCGTCACGGCCACCAGTTCATCGTCTTGTAGCTCTCAATCACCTCCTCGACCAATTCCTTGGTCAACTTGGGCTTTTCGTACTGGAAGCCGACAACCTGTTCTAAGCGGTTACCGTCCATGCTCAGGTCCGTGTCTTTCAACAGCTCCTTCTCCATGAAGGGCGTAAGAGGTCCCGGTCGCGCAATGCCCGCCTTCTCGAGTAGTTCGGCCCATGGTCCCATGAGCTCGTCGTTGACGTCGTCGACGACGCTGTCCATGTTCAGGCGCGCAAATGTGCTGATGAGTTGTCCCTGAAATCCCGTTTCGATCTTGAAGATGTCGCCAATAATCTCGGACATGGTGCCTTGTGTGGTGATGCCCTTGTCGACAACGTTAAACGTGGGCACCTTGCCCATGGTCTTAACATCCCACTTGTCCTTGCCTTTGCTGTACCACGCCGTGATATCCCAAAGTGCTCGTACGGCATCTGTAATGTGTACCGTGTTCTGTCGGAGGCCCTTGTCCCACAGCCACTTCATTTCGCTCTCCAGGTATTGGTAGACACGGGCCATGCAAAGTGCCGTAGCAACCCATTGCGACGCGTACGGGCCGTAGACGTGTGCCAAGCGCACAATGATGAGATTCAGTCTAGAGAAAGAGTGTCCTTGCGTCAGTTTGGAACGATACACGAAAATGCGCCCCGCAAGGTAAAGGCAGCTCTGAGAACGCTTGGTGATGACGCCTTGGATACGTACCCCTCGATTTTTGCTAATTCCTCCTCGGCTTGCAGCTTGTAGACTGCGATCTTGCTCCAAGGCTTCAACTTGTCGCCCTCTTTGCTTGGGGACGAGTCTGACTTGTAGACCATGCCGGTGCTGAGCTCGATGAAGGCCTTGACCTTGCGCTTGGCTGCCTCCTTGCCAACAGCAAGCGACAGGCCGAGAGAGCGCAACTTGTAGACCTCATCCTCTTGCGAATATCTCGTCTCGCCGCCGCAATTGAAAACGTAGTCCCACTGTTTGCCGTCGGCGCGGTCGAATATCTTTGCTAGGGCTTCTGCAACAGGGCAAAGAAAAAGCAAGAAACGTTAGCCAAGAGCGACATGACAGTTGGTTGTTTATCTGGGGATGTCGGGTCGGTTGGCAGCTTTAGAGACCCCAGAGACAGAGGGGGGAGGGGATGGGCTACAGAGAAGAGAAGAGACATGGACAAATGAGTGGTGATGGGCGGTGAATGGGAAAGTAAAAGGAGAAAACAGGTCATGTTGTCGTTTAGTCTGGTGACTTACGTTCTCTGCTTGCATCGGCCTGCATGAATTTGCTGCCGGCGCAGGCGTCCTGGAATTCGGGAGCAAGCCATGCGAGTTGGGGCAAGGCCTTGTCGACAACGCGGACCTCTGAGGCGAGGTCATTGTCGTGGATGTAGCGAGCCAGGAAGCGACCGATGTAGCCCAGCCCCCCGATGATCAGGACTGAGGGTTTCTCGGCCATGGTGAAGGGAAGGGGGAGGGGGGAAATTCGGTGGCAGAGGCGGTCGTCGAGAGGTTGTGCGTTTGTGTGCGGTGTTGTGTCGTCGGAAAGAAAAGGATATTATGAGCAGCGCAAGTTGACGAGTTTGGGGGCAGAGGGGTTCGAGGTCGTGGTTGTGGTAGTGGTGCACTGGGCGCTCAGCGGCAAGGCGGGAAGAAAGGTACCTCTGACGGGCAGGGACGACAAGGACAGCGAGGGTAACGGACGGCGGGGTTGACGTCTGGTGTCCAGGTTCCCGTCGAGTTAGGGGTGAGTTGCCCTGGCCCCCTGGAACGAGAGTTGCAGCACCGGGATTGCGCGAGTTTAGTGTAAACCACGGTGCAGCGGGATGGATGCGGGCGAAGCTCGGCAGGGGGGCGTCGAGGGGGGGCGACGGTCCAACCGGGATAGTTTGTGGGAAGGACTTGGGGAGGGCGACGAACGAAGATGGCAGACGCAGAGGATGGCCTAGATTAGGTACAAGTTACGGACAGCAGGGCAGTCAATGTTGTTGATGTCAGGTGGCAGAGGCGGGGAGACTGGTCGGAGGGGTGTGAAGAGGAACAGAAAGAGGGAGGTGAGGAAGAACAAGAAGGAGAGAAGCGGACGAGGGGGGCAAGAGTAATAATGACAAAAAGGAGGTTGTAGGCTTGATGGTGGTGTGCGTATGTACGGATACAAGTATGCGTGGGTGCGTCTGTATATGTGTATATGTGTTTGTGTAAGGTACGCAGGACGGTATGTTTGTGCGTCTAAAGCAAGGAAAGGAAAGGTATGGTAGGCTAGGTGTGTGTGTATATGTTTATTCAAGTGTAAAAGATTCGAGTTGGTTGATTACGTCTAATGATATCGAAAAGCACATAAGTCAAGGTAGCAGCGGCGTTGCGCACGTCGTGGAAAAGAACAAAATCGATAATAAAAAAAAACTTGAGACGACACATGGTCCTTTCCCCTTTTTCCTTTTTTGTGTGTTCCCTCCCGTGCAAGTACAAGAATAATAAGAAGAGAATGGTCAAAAAATTTAGCGGAGATGCAGCAGCATAAAAAAAGAGACGAAACAGAGCAAAAACGAGCTCCAGTACGGAGTATCCTCCAATACAATGGTGCTGTCATTCAAAACGGGGGCTAGATGGATATTGGAGCGGGCCGTGGAAGTTGGAACGAATGGAGAGCGGGTCAAGGAACGAGGGGGATACTGGGGGGGCTACCTACTACTGCCCACATAGTATGAAGACTCGAAGAAAGTGGGAGGAAAAGAGGAGATTCTGGAAATGACAATATCCCTAGGGACAGCACACACACACACACACACACACACACACACACACACACACACACACACACACACACACACACACACACACACGCACACACAAGTTACCTCCCCATACCAAAGCACTTACAGTCTCACTTGTTGTAATCGAGAGGGCTCTCGCTCATCAAGCTGCCGATGGATAGCCGGTGGAGCCTTTATGCAGCTTCAAACTTCACACTTACAGAGCTGAACCCTGCCAGGTGCTTTGGCTCGGGCTGCTGTTGCCTCTCTTACTTGAGTAGGTACCTACCTTAGGTAACCCGGTGACAACTCCTGCCACTTCCATTCTCGCCGCCAGCTTCAGGTCCAGGCAGGTCCAACGCCTAGTCCATTCTTTCCTTGACTTCTTAGTCTCCGTAAGGTACCTTACTGGGGCTGTGTATTCAGTGTTCACCAAGCAGGAACACATAACTTTGCTCCCATCAGCTCTTTCCTCCCGATTCCCGAGCCCATGTCTGCTGACCTCACCACCACCATACCACACCTTGCTTACCTACGTGCCTACCTGCTCTAAGTACCCATACTGCGTAAGCTAAGTAGGTAAGGAAGCTTTAGCTTGCAGCAGCTCCCATCGGTGTCTTCCCGCCATCATCTCAAGTCTCAATGTACGCAGCTCGCTGACATGTCCCATATTGTCCTGCCTGCCGTGCCAGCTCCGTCTGAGTCACTCCGTTGACACGCTAGCGATCCTTTGCCTTCTCCAAAGTCCAGAGAGCATCCTTTTCCAACACCCTGAACCCTGGCTGCGGCGTAATCCACCGAGAAGTCAATCCCCGATCCAAAGGAACATGTTCTGGCGGCGGCTGCTGCGCTCTATCTTAATCGATACAAGCACCTAATATCCGTACATCCACAGTCATACCCAAGTGCCGTGCTAGATTTTCTACCGAACGAAGAACTTTGGTTCGGATAACGTGCCTCTACTATCTGAGAAGGGCCGCGATATCACTCTCACTAGGTAAGCCAGCGTTCCATGGAAGGGGCGAAATACCACCGACCACTAAATGGATTCTACGACCAAAGCTCCGGTATCGCATGCTCATCTTCATCCGATATCGACAGTCTTCGCCAAGCTGCTTCTTCGCCATCCCCCCGCTCTCACTCGGTCACACACATAAAAAGGGCCATGGGGATTCGGGAGCCATGGGCTGGACACCAAGACGGTCTGCCGCCTGCCTCCTTGTCGCGAAATTTACAGTGCCCCGTGCTTCCTCAGAAACCCCACATCGTTGCAGCAGCAAGATATCCCCCGGTCCACTCCATGCCCGTGGCGTCCACCATCTTTTGGGCGACGACAAGCATCCTCTATCAATTATCGTCACAATAGGGGAGGGGGGAGGTCAGCCACATTCATCAATGAATATTCGTACTGCCGGAAATCGAAATCCAGACGAGAAACTTGTGTCTGTGTGCTGCTCAGAGCCTCCAACCAGGCCTAATCCCGTCACCTCTTCCCCTGGTCGTCGTGATTGTCGTCACTATCTTGCATCTATTGGCACCGTCGAATCCCAAATACACGGCAGAGACATGCGCGCAATGTGTCAGAGACAGAATATACTCGCCAGAGAGAGATATCGGTGCCCGTATTTGGAAAAAAAGAAAAAAGAAAAGCCATGCAAGGTACGCGCCCACGGTGCCCTCGCACTGCAATTCTGCGCCCTAATTGCCTTCCATTGTCCAATAATGTCTCTTGACAGCCTCGGATTCTGTTGCGTTCCGACTCAGGTTTCTCCCAACACATACCTGATATCGTGTCCAACCCTTCCCGTGCCACCGAGATCTTCGCCAAAAAGCAGGGAACAATCCATGCCCGATGGCAACTTGTCGATTTCCCTCCCGCTATTCCCGGTCATCCACCCACGCACTCACTTCAACACTCGCGGCTTGCCCTGCTTGCCGGCCGGCATCTCCGTCTTTTCTTTTTATTGTCCGGCCCGGGCCAGGAACCACGGCTATCCACAGTCCATCCCCTAAAGTCAAGACAGTGATACAACAGATCTTGTCTCACCATCAGCCTCGATTTCGAGTAACACGCCCATCTCGTTGGAAACAAATTACGAAATGAACAATGCGAGATGCAATGGAAAAACAAAATTCTTATTGGCTCTCCTGTTCCTGTTGGCTACCTTGCGTCCCAAGCTTCCGGCTAGCGCCAGCGGCGCGAAGTGTCCATCCCATGGATCCCGCCCCGTTCCCGCTCAGGGGCCTTCCATGATGCTCTTCGCAGATGGGTGCTTCTTGCCTGGGCCATGCCGCCGTACTTCAACTTTAAAAGGGGCTATTAACCAGTGAACCGCACACGCACCGGCGCGCTCCACGGGCGGGTTCGGGCTCGGGCTCAGCTTTCGGCCACTTGGCTTTTCGCGTTTCGCATCTCCCTGCATCCTGCATGCGGGGAGTCCTAGAGGAGATCTGCTGCATGTTCTAGAAATCTTGTGGGATCTGTTCTGCAACGGAGCACGCATGCTTTCTTTTTTGGGCGAAAGTGAATGCTAATCCATTTATCCAAATGACCAACCCTTATCTTGTCGCTTTTCACATCAGCTAGGCCCCTGAAGATCAACGAGGGCACGAGAGACATTGGCTGGCATCGTACTCACTCTCATGTGTTTCCCAAAATAATCGACTCGGGCATTTTGGTTATGCGCCACCAAGGCACGAACACCAGCGTCGACGCCAGCGCCGGCGCCAGCGCCAACGACGTTGAAGCTAGGAACCCAGCCGCCCTCGGCGCCAGAGACAGAGCCAGAGCCAACTATTGATGTTGCAGGTCCGCCATCAAAGCCAAGGAGGCTCCACAGTACCAACCCATGCAGCAACCGCCAACTCTATCAGGTCTCTTCCTTAGCAAACCAAACCCCACCTTGAATGGACAGCTCCCGCGTCGGCGCGTTAACCGCCTAAGCTTCGACAGGCAACGTTGGGCATCATTCGCCCAGTGCGACACTCATGCTCTTCGTCATCAAACAAATCCTGACTGCGCTCCCAAAGCCTATCGAAAGAAGCAGACCGAGCCGGACATACAGCGTGAATCCGACGATGCCAGGGTCACCGGGTTCGCTCCAGAGCTTACCTTCCAGCCAGGCACACTAGGTAGGTTACGGGGGTTTCGACTGATCGGATCTATTTGTGCAATTACGTGTCCTAGTTCTGAGAACGAGAACGAGAATCAGAGTCAGAATCAGACTGGGCAACGGAGTCTCTGTCAGCTCTGGCTCGATTTGATCCGAACCTCTGTAGGACCCCTACTATCGGTCCTAATTTGACGCATAGTTTACGGTAAGGGCAGTATTATGCAACCACGTTCCTGGCACGCTTACAATCGCCACAAGGTTGGAGCTGCTTTTACGTCGGCAGGTCTCTGACTGGCCTCTGTGTAAAACGAATTCGGCTTCCAGGCTGTTGAGTGGTGTTTCTCACGATTTCGATCCACATTACGTTACCCGGCAATCGTCGAATCACTTCCCGGCCCATCACTTTGCGGACATGGCCAAGGGAATCTGTTGCGTTAAAGCAATTAGCCGCAACTAAGCTTACTGCATGTAGGCGAGCCATACCGGTGTCATATTTGATCGCTTCACTTATAGTTACCTACCCGAAGGTTGTCTCTTGATCCTCGCGGGGCGCTTCAAAAGTGAGAGTATAGTAGAGAATGGTCAACTGCTAGAACTAGAGCAGGCTGGAAGATCTTGCCGGAAGCTCACATGAGTGGCTTGCCGTGAAAGCCTACCTACTTGCTCTATTTGCACTCCTTGTCAAGTTCATCGACCTTATCTTGCCCATCCATTGATCGAGTCAACAGTCCGGCCTCAGGGGCTTCTGGGAAGCACTTGTGTCCACTTGGTGCTGGGCTGTGATTTGAGCTGATGCCAACCAAGCCTCGCCCACGAGGCCGGTCCTCTTCTTTGTGGCTGCTAGGGGGCAAGAAACGAACCCTTCCGACTGTTGACTGAGGTCTTTGCATGAGTACACCATGATGACCTCCTGGTTTCAACACTCAAGATATCGGGCCTTTCCCCCACGTCGTATATTGTAAAGGCTTATTTCCTCGTTTCCAGTTCAAACGTGTCCCTCAATGGTACTCCAGTGCGCTGCTGTCAACCGTGATCACATCTTCAGGCCAAAAAACGAGACCACACACGCCGAATCGGTTGTCTCGTGCATCAATCATGGAAGTGTAAAGTAGCCGGTGCCGCGCAACGGGGACTGAGAAACGTATGCAGAGTTTTACAACGCATGTCTCTCTATAAGAAGACACCACCATATCCAGAAACCAAGGACTTGTATACTTGGGTATACCATAAAGAGGCAAAGAGACGAAAAGTCTCGAAAGCCAAAGTGATCCATCCGAGCGCCCACGGTGATACAGAGATCCAGCAGGGAGAGCCTTGTTGAACGCAAATCATGCCGAACATCGGAGACGAATTTCTCTCCCAAGAAACCACCCAGATCAAAAACCGAATCAGGCAAAGGGACGCTGCAGTGATATGGATTTACTCAAGAACACAGAGTTACACGAAATTCTGGATTACAGCCACACCATCTTATTTTTTTTTTCTCTCTCTCTATCGCCCGTCTCATTCTCGCTTCAGAAAAGAGTGAACGGGAATGATGGGCTACAGCCCTGCTGCCGGAGAAAGAAAAAGAATGCATCTGCCAAGGGATCTAGAGATTCAAGACAAGAGATGTAGGCACGCGCGATCGTTTCCTTTTTCCCCTTCACCGACGCCAACGACGCACAACAGTGAACTCGATCTTGGGGGATATTGAAAAGCCCGACTTGGGAAAAGCCAAGCCGTACAACCCGATCTCGATATCCTGCGCCACGCCCGTGCTACTCTCATCTACCATCAACCACGATGCCCGCAATATCATGAGCGGGGTATCAATCGTAGCTCCAATTCCTAGGATACAGCCTCTGATGAGCTCAAGGAGAACCAGACCGGTTTCAAATCACTTCTGCATGCTCCCGATAATCTCCCTCTGCGCCGCGCGGTCCCTACCAGCCTCGCTAAGGCTGCCCACGCTCCGCAGGTCGCCGACGACGTCCTTGGCCTTGCCAAAGTAGACCTCCTGCAGCAGGTTACGCATCTTGAGCTCCATGTCCTCGACGAGCCGTCCCACGTTGGCAATGTGGCTCTCGTCGCCGTCGACGGGGAGCTCCTGCTCGACCTGCCGCGTCATGTTGCCGCTGAGGTCCATGTCGCCCAGAGTGTTGGTCGAGGTGGAGAGCGAGAGGATGACGGTCGAGGTGAGCTTGTACTGCGTCGTGCGGCCGCGCTCAATGGCCTCGAAGACGTGGATCGAGTCCCATACGCCCTCTGCGCTTCCACCGGGTGTCGCGGCTGTGATTGTGAGGTGTCTTGTCAGCTAAAAAAGGATCCAATGCCTGATCACAGGTGGGAACGCACATTTCTTCAAGAGAACCACGCCGGCGAATCCATCGTCCAGGTTCCAAAAGTATACGCTGCTCACACCACCCTCGTAGTACAGATCTCGGTACACGTCAAACGCCTCATTGGCCTTGACCTCCATCTTGCGGACCCTCTCGCTGGGGATCGCGCCTTCGCCGGCGCCCTCGCTACCGCCGGCACCGACGCCGCCGACGCCGCCCTCGTCCAGAGGCGGGTCGAATTGGTTGCTCCATGGGGAGCGGTAGCTGTCGCCGTCGCGGTTGTAGTCGCAGAGGAGATAGTCGCGACCCGTCTGCTTGCAGCGCTTGACGGTCAGGGGTTGGTCGACGGACGAGAGAAGATCCTCCGTCAGATCCGGTGCGAGGGAAATGATTGCATTCAGGTGGTCGGTCGTGTGTTTCGGGTTCAGGCGGCGGAGGAGGTCGCTAGACGGGGAGAACACGCGGCAGAGGTTAGAGATGATTTGCTTTGATGCATGACGTTTAGGGGGTCAGGGCTGCTGCGGTCTTACAGAGCCGAGTCGAAAGGGTCGACGGAGGCCATGATGGGCTCTTTGTATGTGTGTCTATCGCTGGAAGATGTTGTCTTTGAGCTTCTTCGGAGTCGTTGGCGATGAAAGGGTGGCGGTGTCGATTGGATTTGGATGGTCTTTGAGGTTGGGGTGTTAGCGGAAGGTCTGGCGGGGTAGACGGTCCTTAGCCCCTGGGTGTACTTCCCCAGGACCCCACAGCCAGGGAGTTCTGGGCTGCACCTACCACCTCGGGCATGTTGAAGAGGCACGGAGCTACCTTATGAAAGGCACGTCATTATCTGAGGTACCTCACCCACCTAAGGTACCTCTTCACCTAGCTGGACAAAGGGAGTGAGTTCTTGGAGCTATTGCTACCTTCCGAGTCAGCACAGCTCTCCACTGTACCTGGAGCTCTTGGAGCTCTCGGTGTTGAACTGCAATAGTCACTGTGAACCATCACATGAGACGTCTCTAGTCAATCGAGCAAGTCTCATCAATCATGACAATGGCTGATGCAGAGTAAAAGAGGATAAGGTAAACATTTGACCACAAACCATGTAAGCTCTAGGAAACTGCTCGCAAGACTCTGGTCTCCAGATTGGCCGCTCTGCTGGCCTTGTTCGCCTTTTGCGTCCCCTTTTGTTGGCGTCCTTCTGTCTGTCTCTTGAGAATACACCAAGACCAATTCCTTATGCCAACCTCACTCAGTTGCGAGATGAATCCCCCCTCCATTCGCCAACGCCTCGCGCGAAAAATAAAACTGCACTCCAGCCACACCCGAATAACCAGTCTTCATCCTCGAGACTCGCCTTCAGCTGTCCAGGTCTCGCCCCCGCCTGCCCAGACCTGTCCTCTCTCATCCCCTGCAACATGCCTCTTGGCATGTATTCCTCTCCCCATACTTGTCTTCAGGGTCGGTTTACGAACCCCAATCATATTGGAAATCGTCATAAGCAAAACAGCAGCACTTCCTAAGTCACCGCTCCGGTGTGTTGAATAAAGTGCCTGCTGGAATAAGTACATCGAGAAGTGAAGCTCGGCACCCCATCGTCGCGTTGGCGGGTTGTAAAATGACCCATAATTCGAGAGATCGATCGGTAATTTGGCAGTCACGGAGAGGCCGATTATTTAGCTGATTCCCACTCCGCAAACGACGCAGAGCAGCGGCTCAGTCCACACCTTCTCGCCTTCAGTGACATTCTCTCGAAGATCCCTGATTTCAATCGTCGATGGGGTCATGTCCATCAAGATTCTCGCCTCGAACAAGCCCTCCCACGGCTTTACGTCGGCGGAAGTTGGCTTCTTCTTGAAGGATCTCACCTTGCGTGACGACGTCGCTGCCGACACCTCGGGTACGGTCGGTGTGGCAGGAGTTGTGGGTGGTTGCGAAACGCGCTCATCGACAACCGCAGGCGTTCCCTCGGTTACTGACTGCCCGTTGGTCTCTTCCAGCGCATCGCTCGGCTTGGCATCGATTGTTTGCTTCACATCGGCACCGCTCTCGGTAGGGCTGAGGGGTTCGTTTACACCATCGTCAAGCGGCTTTTCTTCCTTGACCTTGTCGCTCTCAGCGACCGACGCTGTTCCGTCTGTCGGGGGTTTCGCGGTGAAGTGGGGCTTGTCCTTGCCAAGTCGCTCGTATGTTCGCATCAGGGTTTCTTCTCGAAGACAGTGCTCGTGTAGCCACTTTCCGCATTCCTTGTTGGAGCACCCGACGAGGGTCTTATCCGGGTTGGCGGGCTGTCGGCATTTGCAGGTGCGTTCAACTGACTGTATGCCGGGTTAGCGACAATCGCCTACTCTAGGCTTCGGGGGTATTTATGCATACCGAGAGCTGCTGGGTGCGACAGTCAAAGGCCTGACGCCAATAGAGGGCCTCCTGAATCTCGTCGTCGTTCTCCTCAATCCATTGCTTGACGGTGGCGGGCAATGTCACACTAACGACGTTGATGATGTCCACTGCTTCGCGTCAGTGCTGAGATCACTGTCTAGGGAAGTATGAAACCTACTATGGTTGGAAGCAATGAGCTCGTTGTGGCCGTGGTACGGCTGACGACCTCCCGTGTATCTCTTTCCTTCCATCGTGCCCTCGGGCAGCTCCTCCGGCCAGTACATCCAGTATATGCGCGCATAGACGTGGTGTTCATCACTAGCGCGGATCTCCAGAATGCGCGCTACCCAGTCGTCTTCGGACTTGGACCGCTTCAGGACCTTCTCAGGCTCGTTGGCATCTGTCGAGCCTTCCGCTGCGGCCTTTTGACGTTGGACTGTCTGGTCGTTTGCGACGTAGATAAAGCCTTCACTGAAATACTTCGTCCCGTTTACTACCGCCCGTCACTGTTAGTACAAGACCATCGCAGATGGACTATCGTTGAGCAACTTACGGACGAAGCTGTTGTATCGTGTCATCTCCAACCACTTCTTCTGCGGATGCACATGGTATTCCAAGTCCAGAACATCGTTAGCGCTCTTGCCGTTGAAGTCGCCGGAAGGGGAGAAGGGAGAGAGTTGCTTGGAGCTCTTCTTCCCATCTTCCTCTTCTTGCTCTGGTTTCCTCCTCTTCTTGGATTTCTTCTGTGCCTTGATGTCGGGTTCGGCGTAGGTGATGCTGAAGGGGCATTCGGCCTTGTTTTCCTCGACCTCGGCGCGAGGGCGCTTGCGCGAAGTGGACATAATTGGTGTAGTAGGAGGTTCGGAGTCGCAAACGCGAGTGCGGTGATGTTATCGCGGGTATGAGAGTGATCGGAGTGATGCGATCTCGATTGATGGTGTCCGAGACGAATGACGTTGGTGCAAAGAGCTCGCTGGGATGTCGCGACCGAAGGGAAGGAGCACGGGGTGGCTGGAAGACGAATGGGTCGCCCAAAGGGCCGGGGGGGGTGGTATGAAGCTGTGTGGCAAGCGCGCGGTCCTAGATGGGCGCTCTTTGTTGACTTTGTCAAGTGTGCAAATACTCTGGCAAGCCTGAAGATGGTCCAGGCCGGTTATCGACGACCAATGATGGCCACGATGCGCAAAATTGGGAAAATCGCGGATTGAGGATCTGGCAATTCCGGGACGAGGAGCGGAGCGCGTTCTTGCTACCCAGCGAAAAAAAGGTGGCGCAGGATGACTATTCTGCTCGGTCACGTGAGCGCGGCGTCCCTCCGACTAAGCGTCCACCTCAGCGACCCAGAGGACGGACCAGCAATCACGATGCGGGCAGCAGGTGTGCGGCGTGCGGCGTGCCACAAATGGACCGGGCGTGTCACGTAAGCACAGCAGACAACAGGAGCTAGAACCATCCGCGCATACCAAAATCCTGGTCAAGGTTCCCACAACAAGCGCCGACACTTATTTCTCCGTTACCTGATTGGCTATATACCGGTCTCGTCGCTTTACCATGATCTTTTACACTGTTGTCTTCGTGTCTCATGCCTTACGCCTTTCTTCTGATATAAATGAGCTGGGTGGATGGCCCAAAAGGATAGAAGTTTCATCATCATCATTCAAATCAATAATCAATCACCTTCCCCAAGTGTTCTGACGCGAATATGAACAGAAGAGTGTGGGGATCAAAGAGCAACAAAGAAGATAGGAGATACGACGGAGGCGGCGAGCATGTTGGAGGCGGTAGAGACGACAACAGAATCAACGACAAAGTCGACTGTTCATTACTTGGCGCTTTTGAGTAAAACATACAATATCGCTAACTTGATTTACCTACGCCGTTGCTATGCAGATATGTTCGGTGATGGGGGCTCAGTTACCCCTGGTCCGGTTATGCTCGTGTTCGACTTCTTCCTCCTCATCGTCATAGGCACTGAGAATCGGACGATCGTCGCTGTCCTCTGTCTCGCTGCCGGTTTCGGCCTGTAGACTCTTGAATCCCTCAATAGTCTCTGCAAGTTTCTGGCCCTCCCGCTTGCCACGCTCCACGTTCACGCTCCAGATGAGAGGCGCCGGAAGCCCAACCAATGCCGCCAAGAACCAAAACGCCGGCCGGATATCACCAGACTGATCAATGATGGCTCCGACAATCGCAGGCCCAAAAACACTCGAACCTTTGTCGGATGCAGCGTATAGAGCGTAAAAGGCAGCTTCACTTCCCTCGGGGATCAACTCGCCGTACAGCGATCTGCAATATGAACTCAAACCTCCCAACACCAGCCCGTACACAGCAGCTAGAGGATACATTTCCCACGGTTGCTGCAGTCCGATCACGCCCCATCTCTGCACAATCGGCAAATATCCGAGAAGTCCGTAAATCGGAATGAGCTCGAAGAGGCCGATACAGACAAGGATTGTCTGATGTGGCTTCAAGTGGAACTTGCGTGAGATGAAAGCCCAGCTGAAGGCACCGATAACACCAGCTATAGTGGAGATCACATTGATCATACCCAAAGCCCAAGGCTTCATGTGGAGTTGCGTTTTGGCGAATAATATGGCCGTGGAAGATGTCGTTGCAATCGCATCACTGACCAAAAACCATGCGCATAAGAACAGAACGATGTCTCGTAGGCGACGAGCAAGCCGGACAGTGTTGAATAACGATTTCCAGGCCATAGCCACATAAGTTGGCCAAGCTCGGATTCCTTTGCCCGACGTGATGGGCATTGGTGGACCTGGCCGAGGGCGGAGCCACATGGCAGCAGGGATCGTGAAGACTGCCTGTAAGATGGTCAGTAACGGTGGATAATGCGCCCAGGCGACGGGGATGAGATGGAGAGAAAGGGCTCGTCACATACCCACCAAAGACCGCAAAAAGACAACGCAACCCTTTGCGACCAGGTAGTGTTTTTCAGTGCAATCACTATGGCGATGGCGACACACTGTACGAATAGGCCGGCAATGTAGCCAATGCCAATCCCCTTGGCGGAAATCTGAGTGGACAGCTGGAGCTCGACGGAAGTGAGCTCCTCGTGAGTAGCTTTCCGAACTAGCGGGTAGCCTCCGTTTCCGTTCCCATGCCCACTGAGTAGGGGCGAATGTTGGTCCTCAACCTCGGCACTGGCGGGATCTTCGTCAACGTGGGAACCATTGAGCGGTCGCGATTCCAGGTTCGAATGTCCCAAGTCGGGAGTGTGAACAGTCTCGGAGGCAATCACTTCCGGATGATGCCGGACCAATAGCGGCAGAAATGAGTTGAGGAGCACGAATGAGGCGCCAAAACATGTGTTCGAAACGATAGCCAGCAGAGCACCCAGGAGATAGGTGGTTTTGTTGACAAAGATGTAGGCCATGACGGAGAAACTTCCAACCCAGGCGAAGGTGAGCAAAAGCTTCTTTCTCGAGTTGCCGTGATCTGCGGCACTGCTGACGCTCACGACGAGGAGAACCTGCAGCAGGACGCTTATGGAGAAGGTGTACATGGCGAAACTCGCCGTGTTGATCTCGATACCCAGAGGATACACGACGCATTGTCCATCAGTTTTGTTTTTCGAGTCGCTCGTACCACACGGGGTCGTTCGATCAGACAATAGGACGCCATTTTCGCGGGCGAGGGTCTCGAGGAGGATCGGGATGAAGGAACCTGGGCATCGTGTGGTGTCAGCGCAACGAGTTCGGGGCGGGGTGCACGGCAATGCTGTAGCTCCAGCATCTCGAGCTGTCCAGGCTCCACAGCTTGATCACTGTCTCGCGACGAATGTCACTGCTCGAAGACGGAGTGACAGACTGTGACAACTTACCGATAGCTATTCTCAGTCAGCGCATGCGCACACATCCAGATCCATGGGCTGGACACTCACCACATATGACATAGGTTTCGGCAGCAAAGGCGTATGCATACCAACCAGACAGCTCCTTCTGGCTCGTGGGCCGAGTGTCTTCGCCTTTGTAACGACCTGGGCCGTGAAGGAAACCATCACTACTGCTGCCGCTCATTCTGTCGAAGTCGGAATCTGTATCGGAACGCTCGTCATCGGCCTCGAAGTCGGAGGTGAAGGAGCGAAAAGAGCGTTTTGACAAAGTTGAAAGACGCGACCATAAGCGTGGTGCAGGTGGTGGTCGAGCGTGTTGCTCTTGTCTTGGAACCATGGCGGCTGACACGGGTAGGCCGCAGGTGTGGGCGCAGCTTTACTGGACGGGCAAGGTCGGACAGCTGACTTCTGTGCCTGTGCGGGCCTGTCACCTTGTCTCACCGGACGGATGCACTCCGGTCACAGCACGCAACCAGAACAAGGTCCAGATGGCCCAGAACTGGTCAGAACTGGAGAGATGTCTCTTTCCCGTCTCTTCCGTCTCTTGTAACCTGCAGCTGCCTTGAGTTTAGGCTGCACTGCTGCAGAACGACCCGCGGGAACCTGCCAGCCTCTGTTGAGCACTTCACTTTGGACGGGACAAAGTACCTTCACCAAGGAAGTTGACTTACCAACCGGGCAGGTAGGTAATGCAGTCAGATAATGCGACGACGGAATTCCAATGCCAATGCGGATTGCGGGTGCAGATGCGGGTGCGGTTCGGGCAAGGCACCTAGCACTGAAGCGTCGTACTCGTCGCAAGTGCTAGGCACCTCGCCAAAGTGAGAGCCGAGTTGATGACGGGCTTGTATTCGGACCCCGCTGATGGTGCAGCTCAGTCGAACCACTCGGTGATTTTCCACTTTCCAGTTACTGTTGGCTATGGTAGCAGCCTACCCAATCTGTTTTCCGAGGGCTCGTCAATGGAGTATTCGCCTGTGAGGGCCTGCCGATTCCGAATAAAGGATGCCGGTTGTAATGGGCCTGAGAAAAGAGGCGACTTGTGAGATGCGGCTATGCGAGCTGTTCAATAGTGACCACTATGCGTCAGTCCGAATACGTCGTGTTTGCGAATTGCGAGGTCGGTCTTTGGTCCGCGGGGACAGCTACATGGGGCCACAGCGGATTCTATCAGTCAATACCAGGACAGACGATGGAAAGACGAGACAGAACTGGAAAAGAAAGTAGAACAAGAACCGGACGGGAAAAATGAGGCGAGGCAGGTTGATGTGTCGTCAGGTTTGCGAGATCCGGCTGTGGGCCGGCGTGGTTGGTTATATGGCGTCGCAAAAGTCGTCGAAAGCAGGCCGGGCCAGAGCAGAGAAGCAAGGACATGGACATCTAGGGTGACAGTGTCAATCCATGGTCTCTCCCGGCCTTTAGCTCCATGTCTACGGAGTACTTGGTCGCTCTCTGCCCTTTTGCCTGTCTTCTGCGCCGCGGCTCCTTTGCCGGAGCCGTTCTAAGCTGAGCCAAGGCCACCAAAGGCCCGCCGTCCGCCGTTCATCACATCGCATCTCCCCTCTCAACCCTCCTCCGCCCAACCGCTCTCCTCCCTGTACGTCTGTAATGTGTGTAAGGGAGTGACAAAATCTTCTCCAAATACCCCAGTCGCGACGAAAACCGTTGCCCAATCTCGCAAGCGCTGCGACGACAAACATGGATGCATCCAACTAGATCATCGCCGATGGGACGGTGTTCCTTCCTAGCGTCGCTGCCACGCTTGAAGCATATCGCGCTATGAGGCAATGGACTCCATTTATCGTGAGAGGATGCGCGTTGAACGACATGCGTCGTGAGACGAACCAGGTTCTTCATTCGTCCGATATTCCATGGCCGGCATGCGTCGATGGATATGCGCTGCATCCGCCTTTGGGATTGGGCATTGATCGTACACCACAAATTCCCCATTTCCAACCTCCATGGCCATTGGCACTTTGCGTTGCCTACACCGCAAGAGGCTGAATCCTACAGCATTGGTTAATTCTTCAACGGCCTCCCCGGCTCCCCTGGAGTTTCTCTTGTTCGGCCTCATAGGGATACAAGCCCTCCCTGGTCGACACGAATCAGCGTCTCAACCCCATCGGGTTCTTTGAAAATTCCGAGTCTCGTAGACTTGATAGAGTCGAGACCTTTGAAAGCCGAAATATCGGTACAGATCTGTCAACTGTACCTCGCCGGGTTAGGTTCACCAAGTCTCCAGGGGGTTGCGTTTCCTTGGCTAGAGCCGTGCCGTCTTGGGAACGGTTGGTTTTCCAGTTGGGTAAAAACGACCCCAGGTCAATTTTGACTAGCATGCGGCGTTCCTTGGATGTCGATACTGCACAAAGCTCCGTTCAATGAACTCTCGCACTCGACCACGCTCCTCTAGCACTCGTTTTCTCATGATGAAACGCAGCTACTGTGTGTATTGCAACCCAATTCTCGTCGCAGCACTGCGGCGAGGCTTTATGGCGATCCAAGCCGGACTGGGGCTTGCGGGGGCGGGCATTCTGTAAGTGCCCGAGCGATCTGCGGTTCCTCTTCGCGCCAGTGAGCATGTCTGCCCACCACATTTCAAGACCCGTTGGACCCTGAGCGACGATCACCGGCACGTAAATCGAATCGACGCAGACGAAAATTGCAAAGCGCGGACATGGCGATGCTAGCGCATCGCCATGGTCGATGCTATTAGTCCACAGTGTTTGGCAACCAGAATCCGGGTAGTAGCTGAGTAGTATCAATGGCAGCGGCAAATTGTGCGTACTGGGGATTCATGTCATATCCCGAAAACGTAGGCGGATGGCTGTCTTGACGCTGCATCCCGCCAAAGTTCACCGCTTCAGTTTAAGGTTCCGCGACGATGGGCCTTGACGGAGGACCCATGAAATCCACTGTCTGCAGCAGACATCTGTCCTGTGACCAGGTGAAACATGGATCTGGATCTTAGGTTGCGACTCTCGATACTTTGATGAAGCGAAGCTCCTACGAAGATGTGAAGTGTTGAAGGTTGATGTATGGCTTGGAAAGGTGCTTGGAAAGACGACTTGATTCTGACTACATACATGTTGAAGCGGTTGAGTGATTGGGCACGGACCCGGCCTACCCTGCCGAGTTTCTGCCGATTTCAACTACACCGCCTACCAGGCGGGTCTAGCGCGCGTGCACTGACCACTCCTCTCCACACCGAGCATCTCCGACTCTCACTCATCCGCATCTTCACAGGACACACATGAGATTTCTCACCAAATCTCACCAACAAAGCAACATAACCCGCATTTTGGGCTCTTCTTTCATCAAATAAACAATGGCGAAGTGCCAGAGTGGTTAATGGGTTTGACTCGAATTAACTCTGATTCTACAGAGCCTTCTATCAAATGGCTTCGGCCGCGCAAGTTCGAATCTTGTCTTCGTCGTGTGTTTTGCTTTCTACCACCCACGGATGAGTTGGTATCTTTTTATGAGTGTCGACTTATGTTTCAGGCTTTCCCAGACGTATTCCCTCATTCAGAGTCATAATTTCTGTGTGGAAGGTGTTGGTTGCGCCAGCGCCTCGCATCCGCGCGGAACCCGTGCCCACCAAAAACTTGCTCGATGCCTACATTGAGATGCATGAGATGGAACAACACGATGAGAACCATTCCAGCAAGTTTTTGCCAGGGAAAATCATAATGCCAGTGGCAGGATATCATTCAAAAAGTCGAGACCAAGTCTCGACACGAAATAGATCTTACGAAATGGGGGATATCGTGAAGGGTATGCCAAAAACAAACTTCCAGCCCAGGTCCAACCAGCATCCGTCGCAACACATCAACACCCATAATTACCATCCTTGTCCTTTTCCAACAGACCAGTCTTTTCCTTTTTACTTCTTGTGGAAGGGGGCGAGGATCTTGGCCTTGAGCTTGTCGGCGACGCTGACGCCCGAGTGGCCGTCGGCACGAGCCTGCGCAGCGGCCTTCTTCTCATGATCAATCTCCTTGTGAGCGGCCGACTTCTCCGTCTCGACGGCGTTGCCCGCGCCGCCCCGGCCGACGTGGTAGTCCTGGCCTTCCATGGAGGGACGGTAGGCCTCCTCGGGGACGAGGTCCTTGTCGGAGCGCAGAGCGGGCTCCTTCTTGGCGTCGCCAATGTTACCGGCACCTGGAGGGCAGGGCGCAAACAGTCAGCCTACAAAGCATGGTGTGTTTGATTATGATGTGATTGCAACAGCTGAAGACATCGTGGGGTGGAGAGTGAGCATGGTTAGGGGCGGAGCATCCGGCCAAGTGGGCGATTGCGCCGACGCCGCTTGGCGGGCTGGATGATAAGGCGATGCGCTGGGCGCACTCGTCCCGCGTCAAGACTCACCTCCACGACCTGCGCTGAATGCGCCAGTTCCCTGAGACCCCTCGGGGCCTGTTCTCACGACCTCGCCGTCGACGTACTGGGTGTCGTCAACGGCCATGTTTCCGGCGCCACCTCTTCCGTGAGATACTTCGGCAGTCATCGTGTTCGAGTTCCGGGTATGGATGTAGGGCGTGTGGTTCGTGAGCTATGGTGAGTGAGTTCGTTGTAGGATGAGTTCAGTGGGAATGCCTTTCGGGGGAAAACAAAGTGGGTGCGCAACTTTATTTGAGCAACTTTGCAAGATGGGACGAGAGAATAACAAATCGAGACCAGGTACGTCAGCGATATTATATATAGATAAGGCACCTGTTCCTGGCAGCTCTCTACCGTACATCACATCATATGGTAAGGTAAGATAAGTGAAGTACTCCGTACATCTACTTATCAGTGAGTGTGAGCGAGCTCCTAGTAGGGATACCTCCCCCGCCCCCCCAAAGCTAAGGTTATCTCTCTGACAGAAGTCAACCCATCCACGAATCTGGGAGGCAGCTCATCAAGCCTGCGACTGAATGCGGGATGTCTAGTGTCTTGGGGGCCGCTGGGCGTGGGGATTACAGGTGGGTGATACTCCTGGTGAGCCAAGGTTTCCTCCATCTCTCTTCGAAAAGCACTTGCACATGCTTGAGAGCTAACCCCCCCCCCCCCCCTGCCTCCACGGCACAACGGTACTTCTACACACATGGCATACTGGGACAAGCCAACCAACGGCTCGATGAGACGATCGGCGAATGACAGCAGCCTCTGCTCTGATAAAACTTTTGGTTTACGTACCTGGATTTCGTGAGAGCTCTGGGAACATTACGCATCGGCATCAGCCCAGCGCTAGCCCCTAGTGAGCGCCGCCATTGGCACCCATTCCTATTTCTTCGGGCTCATTTTGCGCGACAACTTATAATCTGGATTGAGCATGCGTCGTCGTCACTCATGGACTTTACGGTGTGCTGGTATTGCGCTCATCATCGGCGCTATCTAATCAACGGTCACTTCATGTTCCTGGAAGAGCAGTCTGCAGGCTTGAACGGTTTGTTATTGAGAGCTAAACCTTCTCATCATAACCCCGGTCCTTGTCTATTGATGTTCGGTGGATGTCGTCATTGCCCCTCACCTGCTTAGTTGCAGTGTCACCGGTACAGTTAGTCGCACGACTTAACCACCACGAAGGCAATGAAATTGTTGACATTTGTGCTCACCCTTTGATGCATTCGCATTCAGACACCGGGTCGGATGAGTGGTATGTAAGGTTTAATAGTTCATTAGAACGACATGTTTACATGAGTGGCACTGGGGCCGTATCAAATTGCTCATTGTGCGCTCGGGATATATGTAAGCTAGAGTCGAGTTGACTTGACCCTTACCGTTCGCTCAAGCCATTCGTCCAATTGCCTACTGAGGTGCTAGAAGGAAATGGATGCGACCTTACCAGAGTAAACAAATAATGTGAACTCAAGGAAGTGATTGTCTTCGAAATAAGTTATAAAAACTCAAGTTTCCGGTACAGGCATCTTCTCTACAGCTATCGTCACTGACCCCCCTTGCTAATATAGCTGTCACTGTGACTGTCCTGTCTGACCCGCTCTCTCCGTATACTCTCCATCGAATATACTTCTGGAGACCCCAGAAAGTCGTAACGATGAAGCTGTCAGGAATGAGAAGAGGATATGCTGCGCCATGCCCGGTACCAGCGTCGCTGGAGGAGGCGGCAGCATCGTAGCCGACACACTGTAGAGTTGGTAAAGTTTAAGATCTTCACTCAAGGCTCGCCGGTGATGGCCCTCGATTATGTTCATTTGGTGATATTCGGGCAAACAATGAATCGAAAGGTGTCATGGTGTCTAACTGCTTCGCGATAGGAGAATAGCGGTGCAAAGTCAGCTTTCTAGAAACTCGAGCAATCAAAAGCGACTATATTCTGACTACCATCTATCTTATGAAACATCTTTTCATCTTACTTCCAATCTATGCAACAGCTTACCCGCCCCCTCTTCCCGAAGAAAGACACTACAGCAGTGATACCGAAATGGGAGGCAGCCTTGTGAATTATCAGCCGGTGGGTAGCATCCATGCATGTCAGCCCTAGCTACAGTTACGATTGGCCGCAGACAGGATGGCTAGTTGAGGCGATGCACCACGATACCATTTCTCCGCTATTATATGAAGCTTACCTTCGCCCCATGCTTGCGCCTGAGAGAGGGGTATCTTCAACCTTGCTTCAAAGACTTACATTTCGTGCGAGATGGATCCCATCACCGCCCTAACGAGTGCCGTCGAACTTTTCGGCGTTGCTCGTCAGATTCAAAGCCTTGTGGAAAAGTACAAGAATGCACCCAAGGCTGTGGACGAGATCATTGTCGAGTGCAACTTGACGAAAGATGTGTGTCTCAATTTGCAGAATCAAGTCTCACAGACTGATATCCTCAAAAACCCGGTCAAAAACAGTACCGAGGATGGTTTGCGGAAGATGCTTGATACATGCGTGGAAAATTTGGAGAAGACACTCAAAGACTTGAAACATGAAGTCAGCAAGGTGCAGAGCAAAAGTGACTCGCGCATGGGAAAGTGGGACAAGACGAAGTTCTTGTGGAGGGAGGAGATGTTTTCAGATGCTACGCAAAGTATCCAGGATCAGAAAGCCCGCCTTGGTATTGTTATCCAGCTTTTGCAAGTGTACGCATTCAAGACAGACGCCGAACAAGACAAAGCCACACACTAATAAGTCATAGGCGTACTGGTCAAGAAGTCAAGGAGGGCGTCCATAATGTACAGAAGGGAGTTGACAATCTCGAGGGGATACTTAGAGAAATATTGCCCCATATTCTGAAGATGCAAAACCCACCCCAACTGGGTTTACAGCCGCCGTCGGAGCTGAAGAAGAGTAGATCAGATACTCATATCAACACAACAGGCAAGCGATTTGCTGACGACCTCTTTGCCGCTGTACGAGGAGGGCGGCTTGAGGACCTTGAGCCCATTTTGGCCCAAGGCGTCTCTGTAAACATAGCCCTAGGAGACCGCGGTGACCGGGCCATACATGTTGCCGCTCGCGAGGGATTTCTGCTCGTCTTAGACCGGCTTATTGCTTCCGGAGCAGACGTCAATGTCCAGAATGCGTTTCAGGATACCGCATTGCACCAAGCGCTCAGTCGAGGACAGATTCCCACTTCATTGGCGCTATTGTCGAGCGGGGCCAGTTGGAAGATCAGGAATGCCAACGGGACTACGCCGCTACACACAGCCGTGAGGAGTTCTGCATATCTTGTTGTGCAGTATTTGCTCGACAAGGGGGCAGACGCAAATGCTCGAGACAAATGGGGTCATACTCCCCTTTATAAGGCATGCATTCCCCCGGAGAATGATAAGAAAAATGATTTTGTCATCAGCCTGAAAATCATTCGATTACTCGTCGAGCGAGGAGCAGATCCGACGCTTGGGGGTTGGAACACCGGCAGAACTCCGATTCACGGGCTTGCGTCGAGCGGGCACGCAAAGGAGCTTGCGATCTTGGTCAAGGAGGCCAAGACTCTCGAACTACCACTGGTAGGAAACTCTCAGGGTGAAACGCCGCTCCTTATTGCGGTCAAGAACAAACATTCAGACGCCGTAGACGTTCTGCTCAAACGTGGAGCCAACGTGAACGCGAGAGAGACTTCAAAAGATGGTACGGCGCCGACTGCCCTATGGTACGCCGCTTGCAACCCAGATCTAAGCATCGCGACCAAGCTTCTCGAAGCTGGCGCAGATCCGCGTGCAAAGAGCAATGGAAAAACTCTTCTTCATCTTGCGGCGACGAAGCATTGGCTTGAGCTGGCTAAGTTGCTGATCAAATACAAAGCCGAGCTGGATGCCAAATCATCTAGTAACGATACACCTCTCCATTCGGCAGTCTGGGCCAAGGATTTCCCGATAGCTCGTCTTCTGCTAGATAATAGGGCCAATGTAGGGGCCAAGGGATACCGCACAGCGACTCCGATCATGGCAGCAGCCGAGATCGGCTCGCTGCCAATGGTCAGGCTCCTGCTTAAGCACGGAGCTCAGTGGTCTTACACGACGCCTCAAGGCTCAAACGCGTTTATTTGGTCATCGTCCGGCGGAAGCGTCGTGTGCGTGAGCTTCTTTCTCGGCTGTGGCCAAGACCTGCATCACAGGACCGAGGGGGATTATACTGCGCTACACTATGCGGCGAGGACAGGCAAGATGGAGTGCGTGAAGTTTCTTCTAGAGCTGGGCATCGATAAGCAGGTCATGCCGACGAAGATGAGGGCACCCTTCAAGGTCAGGGGGACGGCAGCTGAGGTTGCGAGGGCGCATGGGGCCGTTGAAGTAGCGGAGTTCATTGAGAGGTATAGGGGCGAGTAGTGTAGTGCGATGATCACGAGTCTGGTTCGAAGTGGCCCCTGGATTCTTGCTTATATTGAGCGACGGAATGAGATGTAAGTAGAGGAGCCTGGTGTTTCTTTTCGCATTTACATGCTGTCTGATTGTTGGAGATTTGTCTTGGTCTGAATGAGAAAAAGCTCTTAGCTCGATCTGTCATCCTTGATACGTCTTAGACTCTCTACTACGAGACCAACAATGCTCGGGGAGATGGTGATGGATGGTAAATATCGTTCAGATCGAAAAATGTGGACAGGTGAGATTATATACTCGGACAGGCTATGGCTTTCGTAAAAGGAACTGCTGGAAAGCAAGAAGCGAGTGTTTTCAAATCATCATGCGTAGAACAATGAAGCTTGATTTCACAACACCGATACATGCTTTCTCATCTTACAAGGTGAGGCCTATTCGGTTCTCAACCGAAGATGCAAATATCACAAGGGGTTCAATAAGATATGCGTTCGAGTGGAAGGGCTCGAGCTAGAAACACGCAAGTCTGGTCAAGAGACTTCCCCGGGACGTCGTCATCACAAGGAGTTCCATTGACTCCCAGCCCATAACGATTCACTCCCTTTGAGCTGGCCATCCTCAACAATAACCATACGGGCCCCAATACCCAAGACGATGTGAAAGGCGGATGTCGACAAATACCTAGCCTATGTAGGCTCAATATCAATGCTCTCTTTACAGCTTGTTTCCTTTTGAGCTCCCTTTTCTTCTTCGCACATGTTCTTTCTGTCGTATCATGGCTGAGGTAAACAACCAACCGCAACACCCCATCAACAACTTCATCAGTGAGCTTTGCCAGGATTGTTCCATTATCCGCAGTATCTTTGAAACAAACTAAACGCGCAGCAGGACAGACGTACCCAGCTCTCTTTTCATCCAAAACAGAGAAACACAGTCACCTTGAGTTTTGAGAGCGCGTTTCGCTATCGACACTGGCATACGCATCGAAGTCTCCGCCATGGACTATTTCAACCAGCAGCAAGATATTGATGACGCGCATCTCCTGGCGACAATGCTGGTGTACATGATCGTCGGTCGTGACATTATCACCGCCCTCATCGTGGTCTTGGCTCTCCGTTCCGCCATCGTGGGAGCCACAACGACCTTGATGCTTCGCTACTTCATGTTGTTCTTTGTCCGCCACATTATCGTCTATACGACCGAGGTTCCCTACATCATCCACAAGAAGAGGTGGACCAGCTTCTGCCGCCGGTATCAACTACCACGCAACGTCGCAAGATTCGGCTCCTTCTCCTACCTCTGTATGCAATTCAGCCTATTTGCCGTCGAGGCCCATCTGTTTCGGCGTTGGCGCCAGCATCGGCTCGATGGGGGCGCGAATGTACAGGGCACCGGTGTGGCGTTGGCGGCTATCATCACTTCTATCACCGCCTATACGCTGCGCCAGGCGTACATCAAGGTGCTCTTCCTCTGGGAGCTCATGCGTAGCAGCCGCCGAGCCCTCAACTGAGGCACCAGCGATGTGGAACTCATTGTCTATGCTACAGAGTACTGATGAGGCCTTCGCACTCTACTACGGATGGGCTTTCACATGCTTGTACGAAGCTCGGGCTGGGATGGAGATCCATGGCTTTGCGTGAAGCTACATGGGAAGACCGGGGAACAGGACGCAAGAGGACTCGGTTAAATCAAGCAGACATCATCGCACTTGGCGTAAATAAGAATAAAACACCTGTTCCAAGATCAAGACTGTGAGACATTCTTTTCATAAGAACATCGTGCTCAGGGATGGTTGTCTCCTTATACATTGCTGAGCATAATTTTACACCGGAGCTAAGACCAGGCACTATAATATTTCGGAAAGAGCACGTGACTTCGCGACGCACCCCAAAAGACCCCGCGATTTTCGTGTTTTAGTCAGTCCTAGCCCCAACGTCATTACTTTTTGACCACTTCGCCCCTTGTCCAGACTTCGCCTCCAGATTTCGCCCCTTCGACTCGTGTAGCACAATGCAAGTGTAGATGGCGGTCTCGACAGTACTTGCAACATCAGAACCCTCGACAATTCGGATCTCTTGAGAAGAGCACCCATTCACTGGGCATTTGTGGCAAAATGGGCCCTCCATCAACGGCAGCGCGAAAGAGGCCTACGACGACTCCCAAAAAACCATTAACCAGGTTGCCTCCTTCGAAGAAGCCTGCAGGAAAACCCAATGCTAGCATTCTGAGCTTCTTTCAAAAGGCCGAAAAGCCCGAGCAGACGTTGTTTATCGATGGCCACGAAAAGCTCATTGTTCCCCAAAAGGAAGATGATGAGGTGCCAGAGATATATGATGCCGAACCATGGGAGGAGGAGGAGAGGTTTAATGAGGTTGAGGTGCCAAACAAGAAGCGGCGGCTAAGCCAAGAGCCCGAGAATGACGAAGGGGAACAGTCAGCCGCAAGAGATTCCAACAGCCCTGTGGTGTCCGAACCACCACCCTCATCACCCACAGAGAGGCCTTCTAAGAAGGTGGCCACTAAGCGGAAAGGCCCCTTTCTCGACGAATCTGACAGTGAAGAAGAAGAAGCGCTTCCTACAGCTCGGAAATCAAGTCTCATCGGTGCTATTCGCAGTCGACCGCCCATCGTCCCACCGGTCAAGTCGGAGGACGACGCGATGTCTCCGGCAATGAAGCAAGATAATGTTTCTCCGCCGTTGGTTCAGCTGGAGGAGGAAGAAGAGGAGGCAAAACCGCCAGCGACGGAAACGAGCTGCCCGCCACCGCCATTGAAGGTTGAGGACTCGATCGACGCCGAATTTGCAAATGTTGACGACTTTGGTGACCTAGACGATTTCCCCAACGACGAAGATTTCGGCGGCGAAGAATACCGCATGATGCAGTTCATGGAGGAACAAGCCCGTTTGGAAGCAGAGGCCGAGGCTGCAGATACGGGCGACTATTCTTGCGACGAATTAGCCGATCCTGTACGGCCTAGCGATGCCATGGTGGCCAACTGTCCCATTTGCGACGGCACACTTGCCGGCATTACACCTGACGAAGCAACACGACATGTGAACGCCTGCCTCGATGGCAACCCAATTCCACTGCCCCAACCCAAGGAGACTAAGAAAGTCAAAGATGAAGTCGCCAGACCGCCAATCCTTGAACCCCCTGAAGTAAACAAACGACTTGCTCGCGCAGCAGTACCACGAGAGGGCCAAGCCAACCCATTCAAGCTGAGCGAAGTCCAGAACAAGTCGACTTCTGCCTTCACCAAATTGATGTCTGGTCATGCTGAAGACGCTGCGTGGGCCGGCGCCGCTGCTGCAGAGCATTCATCACGTGGGAAGCCCGCGTATCAACGGACCTGTCCATTTTACAAGATAATGCCTGGGTTCTACATCTGCGTAGATGCCTTCAGGTATGGTGCGGTCAAGGGATGCAATGCCTATTTCTTGAGCCATTTTCACAGCGATCACTACATCGGCTTGACTTCCACCTGGACGCACGGCCCAATATACTGCAGCAAAGTCACCGGAGACCTGGTCAAGATGCAATTGCGAGTTGCTGCTAAGTGGGTTATTGCTCTCGAGTTCAATCAGACGGAGGAGGTCCCGGGCACCGAGGGTGTGACCGTGACTATGATCCCTGCCAACCACTGTCCCGGCAGCTCCCTGTTTCTGTTTGAAAAGACAATGGGAAAGGGTCCAAGTGCGAGAAAGCAAAGAATCTTGCATTGTGGCGACTTTAGAGCCTGTCCAGCTCAGGTTGCCCATCCTCTACTCAAGCCGGACATACAAGATTCGGCATCGGGCAAGCTCAAGCAGCAAAAGATTGATGTTTGTTACTTAGACACGACCTACCTCAACCCTCGCTATTCTTTCCCGCCTCAGAACGACGTAATAAAGGCATGCGCAGACATGTGCAAGTCACTTGCTCCAGACCAAACGTCAGAAGACAACACGTGGGACAAGATCAACAGAGAGGCTGGCACGGAGACGGTCAGCAAGTTCTTCACCAAGACAAATGCGGAAGACGCCACTACAAAGGCGAAGAAGAAAAACGCCCCAAAAGAACGTCTCCTTGTTATTTGCGGTACTTACTCGATTGGTAAGGAGCGGATTTGCAAAGCTATTGCCCAAGCTCTAGGAAGCAAGATATTTGCGTCCAAGTCGAAGATCCGCATTGTGTCCAAACTCGGAGACCCAGAGCTGACGGCACTTATGACGGATAATCCGCATGAAGCTCAGGTTCACATGCAAATGCTGATGGAAATCCGCGCTGAGACACTACAAGAATATCTCAACGGGTACAAGCCGCATTTCAGTCGTATCGTAGGGTTTCGACCTTCCGGCTGGAACTACCGGCCACAAGGCGCTAGCAAGGCGGTGACAGCTAGCACTCAACCTGGCACGATTCCGATGACACAGATTCTGCAAGGCAAGGCCTGGCGGCCTCGGTTTGGGGCAAAGGATTTCGTCGCGCAACGTGGCAGCACGAAAGAAGCCATGTGCTTTGGTGTGCCATACAGTGAGCATAGCAGCTTCCGGGAGCTGACTATGTTCGTGATGTCCCTGCGCATCGACAAGGTAGTACCCACGGTCAATGTCGGCAGCGAAGTATCGAGGAAAAGGATGAAGGGCTGGATTGATAAATGGCTGTCTGAGAGGAGAAAGGGCGGACTCGTGCATCCTCTCGAAGGCGAAGATGCCGAAGGTAAAGAGGTTGCACTGTGGAACGGCAAAGACAGCCGTGGAGGAGGCGTCTGGTGGTGATTGCTTGCTTCATCAGAATAGCATAATGAATAACGAGTACCATGCGGTCGGGCGCAACTCCCGTTGAACGTTTGATTTGTTTCGTAGATCTCTGTCTGGATATCATATCCCCTCATCTCATACTCCATGAGGAGCTGCCACACCAGGTCTTGCCAGACGCCAAAAATATCGTTAAGCACGTGTACCTAGTTGTGAGGTTTGGCCTTCATTCCACCACATGGGAGAACCGGCTTTTTCAGTGCCCCGGTCATATCGCCATGATTCACAAGAGTCATTCTGAACTCCTACTACTCTTTTACCAATAGCCTATTTGGCCTTTGCGGCCTGAGCAGCAGCCTCTGTGGTGGGGTTAGCGCTATCCCCATACCTGCGATGAACGTGATGGAAACGCAAGACTCACCTCTGCGCGTCGCGTCCTCCAGGAGGGGCACGTCTACTGAGCCAGCAGGCAAGTGTACATAACGAACGACGGAGCCACGGATGAAGACATTCTTGACAGAGCTCTGCATGGTTTCGTTAGCGACATTCTCAAGGCTGGCTCTTCGGCCACACAAGGATACGTGAGATGAGAGCCTTGGTACAAGGGTGGAAGGCGGCAGACGGACCAGATGCGGGTACTTGAGCTCCTCGACGACCGAAATCTCCTCCAACTTGATGTTGAGGTACTGGTCGACGCTCTTGAGGATGCCGCGGATCTGGATGTCGTTCTTGAGCTCGACGGTGACCTCGTGGTCGATGAGCGTCTTGAAGAAACTAGCAGGCGTAGCGTCAGTGATTGCATCATCCAGCCTGCGCGGGGCGCAACTCTGGGTTTGAAAGCCCGTGGATTATCGCGTTCCCCGAGTGAAGCTCGAGACTTGCCTGAAGAAGAGCATGGTGGGCGGTTGGACTGGATGCTAGGGTGTGATGAGCCGCTCAGTAAGGTCGTGATGCTCTTGATTGAATGCGAAGAGGTGTGGGGGCTTGCGTACTGTGTTTCTATACAGTGTGCACGGCTGTCTCGGTATTGGACTTCACCATGAACCACACTGTGATGTGGCTTAGCCCTTGTGGCTGACGGCTTCCGCTAGAGCCAGTTCTGTGGTGGCAACTGGCCACTGAATCGGCCAGTCCGTTCAGGGGAAGAACTCGCAAAGTGATCAGCCTCAGCAGCGACTTTTATTCAACTTCATGTGACTCGCACATCTTCATATCGATTATTCTGGTTTTCTGTTCCCTTTCTGATACAAGGCTTGGCATCTTCTAGAGTCACTGTCATTCGTTAAAGTGACCCTACGAAAAGCTTGGTCTCTGAATACAACAAGTTATGTCTGTGGCCAGGGTGACTGAATGGCGGAAACTGCCGCTTAGTCTGGCTGAGCTATGCATTGACACGACTCTTCGATGTGGCCAGTCCTTCCGATGGCGTAAAGTCAATGACATGTGGTCAGTCACATTGAGCTCTTGGTATTATGATTCAATTCCGCTAAGATTTCATCTAGGTGCTGCACGTTGTATGGTCGAATCGTGTCATTAAAGCAAGATTCAACTCACCTGCATTACAAGGTCACTTGGCCTACGAAACCAACTTATCCGCTCACCCCTCCAAGTTTTGACAGCGAAGCTAGTGAAGATGACACAGAGGAGTTACTACGGCATTATCTGAGCCTCAAGTTGGACCTCAAGTCTCTTTACGAGGAATGGTCGAAAGCGGATCCCAACTTTCGCAAGAGGGCCCCAGAGTTTGGAGGTGTTCGTATGCTGAGCCAAGATGCATGGGAGGCATTGATATGCTTTATCTGCAGTAGCAACAACAATATCGCCAGGATATCGCAAATGGTAAGAACTGCTGCAAAGTGGAAAAAGAAACCCAGGACTGACACTTGGACAGGTTCACAAGCTGTGTCTACATTACGGCCCGCTGATTGGGAAGATTGGGGACGAAACGTTCCACGATTTCCCAACACCAGAGGCTTTGACGGGAAGCTCAGTAGAGGCGCATCTGAGGGAGCTCGGGTTTGGCTATCGCGCAAAGTACATCGCGCAGACGGCTTCAATTGTGGTCAATGATAGGCCAAAGGGATGGTTCGAGAGTCTTACCAACCCAGAGAACCCATGCTACATCAAAACGGCCGAGGGATCTAAGCTGCCACAGTGTACATACAAAGAGGCACATGAACAGCTGCTCCAATTATCGGGCGTAGGCCCCAAGGTGGCCGATTGTGTCTGTCTGATGGGCCTGGGTTGGGGTGAGGCCGTGCCGGTGGACACGCACGTCTGGCAGATTGCCCAGAGAGACTACAAGTTCGGCAAGACCAAGACCAAGACGTTCAACAAGGCGATGTACGATGCCGTGGGAGATCATTTTAGGGAGCTCTGGGGTAAGTATGCGGGCTGGGCGCACTCTGTGCTCTTTACGGCGGACCTCAAGACCTTTTCTGAGCGGACAGTGAAGAAGGAAGAGGACCAGACGGTGAGGGTGAAGAAGGAGGTAACCGTTGATCAAGAAACGCCCATTTTGGGTCAGAAACGTAAGGTTGTGAAGACAAAGGTCAAGGTTGAGGTTGAGCATGAAGTGCCCGACACTGCCCTGCTAGAATCATCGCCGAAGCGGAGGAGAACACGATCGCAGGCTCGAAAGACGAGCTGATACCTCTACCTTAGTTATACGACTTCGTCATGCTCGACATGAGCGACATCCTACCAAGTTGCCTACTCACTAGCTTCGCATCCCCGGCCACGTCTTGAAGCGCGTAGACAAAGTTTTGTAGCATTGATTTACTGTGATATGCAGGTGGACCTAGCTGAATCTCTCAGATAGCTTCTACCTCATCTTATGCAGGTGAAAGCCATGAAAAAATAAAATTGATATCGTATTTGTTGTTGTTCACCAGTCGCGGATGGTCTCAGGTTGAGGTGCAGAAGCTCCCAGCCTTGGCGTTCTCGGCTAAAATTCGGGCGCCCAAATTCTGGTGGCGTCGCCGACAGCAAAGCTTTTGCCTGCGCAGATTGCAAACTCTCCTGCGACCCGGCCATTTGCTACCCCCTTCAGCCTCATCAGCAACACAACAACCATTACTGATGCGCGCCGCCATCGTCGATCGCCCACTTGCATCTTCAAGTGACATGAAGCAACCTTGCCCATAATTCAAAATGTCCGACGCAGACTTCGAGACTGTCCGGAAGCTCCAGGCGGAGCGCAACGCTGCCGCCGCTGCGAAGAAGGGTTCGACCACTTTCGACCCGAACAATCAACGTGCCGACGCTGGCACCAAGCAGAAACTCACCGATAGCTTCGACACCGATCTGTACGATCGAAATGGCGTCGACAAGTTTGCCGGATACAACACGTCCATCCCGGCCGGCGATGACGATGATGACGAGATGGAAGACACCGACAACACGCGCCGTCTCGTCGGCCAGTACACGGCATCGCGTGAAATGATTGACGAGTTCGCACGCGGCGATGGCGTCGAAGAGGATGATCCCTTGGCTGGCCGGGGCGAGAAGAGCAACAGGATTACCGATCGCGAGACAGACTACCAGAAGCGCCGATTCGATCGCGGTCTCTCCCCTTCCCGAACCGATGCCTTCGCCAACGGAGACAGCAAAAACGGCGACAGCTACCGCGAGATCATGCAGCGGAGAGAGCTTGAAAGAGAGGAGGAACGCGTTGCAAGGGAAATCCAGGCCAAGGCCGCGAGGGGATCCGAGGAAGACGGCAACGTCGCCCCAGCGACTCTGAGGGACGACGATAAGGAAAACGCGGAAGCTGGCTCTACCGATGCTGTCTCGTCTGGAAGGAAGCGCAAGAAGAGGTGGGATGTCGCGACCACGACAGCTGACGAGGAAGCTGCTCAGCCATCTGAGCCCGCCAAGTCGAAGCGCTCGCGTTGGGACCAGGCCCCCTCTCTAGAGCCTGCAGATGCACCAAAGAAACGGTCGAGGTGGGATCAGGCCCCTTCGGCCACTCCAATGGGTAACCAGGGTCTCGCCACGCCAATGCACCCGTCGCAGGCGGGAAGCGCAGCCTTGCCTACGACTTTCGGTACGGATATCTCAGGACGCAACGCGCCCATCAGTGACGAAGAGTTGGACGCGCTTCTCCCAGGCGAGGAACAGGGGTACAAGATTCTCGAGCCACCGCCAGGATACGCTCCGATTCGTGCGCCTGCTCATAAGCTCATGGCTACGCCAGCACCGCAGACTGGGTTCATGATGCAGGACCCTGACGCCGTGAGGTTGAGCGGAAAGCCTGTGCCGGCAGAAATCCCGGGCATTGGTGACCTGCAGTTCTTCAAGGCCGAGGATATGGCGTACTTCGGTAAGCTGACCGATGGCTCTGACGAGAACAGCTTGAGCGTGGACGAAATGAAGGAAAGGAAGATCATGAGGCTGCTCTTGAAAGTCAAGAATGGTACTCCACCGATGCGTAAAACTGCTCTGAGACAGCTCACCGATAATGCCAGGCAGTTTGGAGCCGGTCCGCTCTTCGACCAGATTCTTCCTCTGCTCATGGAGAAGACTTTGGAAGACCAGGAGCGTCATTTGCTTGTCAAGGTCATCGACCGTATTCTCTACAAGCTCGATGACTTGGTGCGGCCATATGTCCACAAGATTTTGGTCGTTATCGAGCCGCTGCTCATCGATCAAGACTACTACGCCAGAGTCGAAGGTCGTGAGATCATTTCCAACCTCAGTAAAGCGGCTGGTCTGGCTACCATGATCAGCACGATGAGACCAGACATCGACCATGTCGACGAGTACGTGCGAAACACCACCGCAAGAGCGTTCGCTGTTGTGGCGTCTGCCCTCGGTATTCCGGCCCTGTTGCCTTTCCTTCGGGCAGTGTGTCGCAGCAAGAAGTCATGGCAGGCCCGTCATACCGGTGTCAAGATTGTGCAGCAAATTCCTATCCTAATGGGCTGCGCCGTCCTTCCGCACCTCAAGGGCTTGGTCGACTGCATTGGCCCCAACCTGAACGATGAGCAGACCAAAGTCAGGACAGTCACCAGTTTGGCTATTGCTGCGCTTGCTGAAGCTTCAAACCCCTACGGTATCGAGAGCTTCGACGATATCCTTAACCCGCTGTGGACTGGAGCTCGCAAACAAAGAGGCAAGGGCTTGGCTGGTTTCCTCAAGGCCGTTGGCTTCATCATTCCGCTCATGGACGAGGAGTATGCCAATTACTATACCAGTCAGATTATGGAGATTCTCCTTCGCGAATTTTCCTCCCCAGACGAGGAGATGAAGAAGGTTGTCCTGAAGGTTGTGTCTCAGTGCGCTGGTACTGATGGTGTCACCGCAGGCTACCTCAAGGAGCATGTCCTGGACGAGTTCTTCAAGAGCTTCTGGGTGAGAAGAATGGCCTTGGACAAGCGCAACTACAGACAGGTTGTCGAGACCACCGTCGACATTGGCCAAAAGGTCGGCGTCAGCGAAATCCTGGAACGAATCGTAGTGAACCTCAAGGACGAGAGCGAGGCCTACAGGAAAATGACCGTCGAGACAGTGGAGAAGATTGTCGCTAGTTTGGGCGCAGCAGACATCGGCGAGCGTCTCGAGGAGCGCTTGATCGATGGTATTCTACACTCGTTCCAGGAACAAAGCGTGGAAGACATTGTCATGCTCAACGGTTTCGGCTCTGTCGTCAACGCCCTTGGATCGCGCTGCAAGCCATACTTGCCCCAGATCGTCAGTACTATCCTCTGGCGATTGAACAACAAGTCAGCAACAGTACGGCAGCAAGCAGCCGACCTCATCTCACGCATTGCTATGGTCATGAAGCAATGCGGAGAGGATGCCTTGATGGGCAAGCTTGGTATCGTCCTTTACGAATACCTGGGTGAGGAGTACCCTGAGGTTCTTGGTTCCATCTTGGGAGCTCTGAGGTCGATCGTCACGGTTGTCGGTATTACACAGATGCAACCTCCTATCAAAGACTTGTT